ATATATATATATATATATATAAACTTTGTATATATATAAACAATAATATAAACTTTGCAACAAATATCCAAACGATAAGCATACAGCTATAGTAGAATTTCAAAGCAAAATTGCTATTTTAAAAATCTTTCAATTTTCAATGATTTATTTACAAGAGAAATTATGAACATTTTACTCAATTAATCAGCTTGCATACTGCTACGTTAAAACATATACATTTAAGCAAAATAAAAAGAATAGTTCTATTTGAATAAATTACAAACAATAAAATATACTGTGCATAACCTGCTGTAACGATTCACCAGTAACGTTACCCTAAACAATGACGAGAAATATTTCGATTGTTCTCTCTTATTGTTAAGCCTACAACGATAGCCTCTAAGAATATCCTCCAACTTAAATTATTTAAGGTCAGGACGTGTATTTAAAACAAAAATAATAAAATTTAAGTTTGAAAATAGAAGCTTATTTGATTAAAAGTGATAAAACTAAATTAATAAATGTCAAGCCCACCTACAGAATTTCGAATAGACTTTCGATTGTCAGCACACACGGCATTTGCCTGCTCGCATGGAACTCTGGGAATTGAGCTAGTTAATATGAAGTGTACTTTAAACAACCTTAAAACAAGCTTAGGTATAAATAAAATGACTTCATACACCTCAATAAATACTTCACTCTCGTTAGTTGAAATAAGGTTGTTTTTTTATACCTCATAAAATACCTCTTTTGTTACAAGTGTAAGAAAAACAACCTCGTATACCTTAAAAATCACCTTATCAGTCTGGTTGATTTGAAGTGAATTTAAAACACCCTCAAAATAAGCTTAGGTATAAATAAAATGACTTCATATACCTCAATAAATACCTCACTCTCTTCAGTTGAAATAAGGTAAAAAATTTCATACCTTAAAAATACCTCTTCTCTTACAAGTGTCAGAAAATCAACCTGGTATACTTTGAAAATCCCCTCATCAGCCTGGTTGATTTGAAGTTGATTTTAAACAATCTGAAAATAAGCTGAAGTATATATAAAACAACCTCGTACACCTTAATTACAACCTTTACGAGGTATAATTTTTATTGCTGTTTTCTCAGCAACCTAAAATATACCTCAAATGTACCTCAAATCAATCTTGATACCTCAAAAATACCTCAAATCTACCTTAAATATACCTTAAATTTCCGTAAGGGCAGTATCTTGCTTTCTACTCACTCCAAACCACTGTAGTTTACGGCATGAGTTGTGTCTAGTTAGATGTCAATGGATAACAGAGTGGCGTTTTCTGATGAAAGTCGGCTCTGCCTTGGCGCCAGTGATAGCCGTATATTGGTTAGAAGGAGACCAGGTGAGTGCCTAATACCGACCTGTCTCCGACCTAGACACGCTGGACCTACACCTGGATTTATGGTTTGAGGAGCAATTTGCTATGACAGCAGGAGTACTATCGTGATAATTCAATGCAACTGACAGAAAATTGGTACGTCAACCTGGTGATTGAATTTGTTTTGATGTCATTTATGAGCAGCATTCAACTGGGTATTATCCAACAGGATAATGCTCGCCATCACACTGCTGTTCTAATCCAACATGCTCTACAGAATGTCGACATATTGCCTTGGCCTTCAAAATCAGCATATCTTTTACCAATTTAGCACGTATGAGACATCATGGGACGACTTCAGCGACATCCACAACCAGCACCAGCTATCCCCGTACTGAATGACCAAGTGCAGTAGGCATAGAACTCCATCCCACAAAATGACATACGGCATATGCATGACATAATGCATGCCCGTTTGCAAGCTTGTATTCAAAAATCAGATGGTTACACTGGTGACTAATGTATTTCATTTTTGAAATGGCTTTTCTCTTAATTGCATTAGCCTGTGATCTTGAATTTTTAATCAATTAAATTTGATACTCAGACAAACGAATTCCCGAAATATCAATATTTAGTGTGTGCTGGGATTTTCTTTCCATCAGTGCATATTTCAAAAATCAGTTTCTCAATTACATCTCTGAATTTGCACTCGCGAGTGTGTGGTATACAGAGTGATCGGTCTTCAATTTTAGAAAACGCGTGTCAAAAATAATTTTTATGGATGGTGTTTTCAGTAGAAATGTAAACGATAACAATCTCGAGCTGTATGCCTGCTCTAGTTCCGGTTAGAAAGTTTGCAGCTGCTTGCTACATGTTATTCTGCGAGGCGATATTTTCAAACGGATAATTTTGTGTTCAATAAAAGAAATAAATTAGATGATTTCTGAGCTCAAATTTGCAGTATTTCATAAGATATTAATGTTATTATGTAAATCTGGTGAGTTTGAAGTGAAAATTTGTTTTAGTTATTTAGAAATATATTGTTGAAAAGGTGGCATGGTTGCTAGATTTTGAATAACTCGCTTTTTTGACAGTCTTGATTTGGACTCTTTCCATTTGTTTATTACTGTTTGTTCGTGTTGCAAGCTGTGCACCCTCTTACTTTAGTGTTAGCATATTGTTCGAAGGGCAAGATTAAGTTTAGTAATAAGTATTAAAATACCACGTTTGCAAGAATCTTAAAACACAATGAACACGTTGTGATCCAAATGGCTTTAAAATACACCGGAAACAGTAACCCGGAAGTATAAGCGGCATACAGCTTGCAGCGCTCTCTAGTGGCGAAAGCATCATCCTGCTTTAGTAAAACCAATTCATAAATCTGTTAAAGTTTAATGTTTCTTATGCCTGATGAGTTTCAGAAAGTGCAAAAATAGGCAGCAGGAAGCCTTATTTCTTAAACAAATAAAGAAATAATTAAAGATGGCAACATAACATCGTGATGGTATTACGGTGTTATTGACAAATAAAGGGAGGATTGTCTACGGGATGTAGCAGAAAACGAGAATGAAATGACGTGGTTGAACGTGCACGATCCTCGTGAAATCGCTAAGCATATAAATTCTAGAAATGCGAAGTTTTTGGCTTTATTTATTGTCACTGGTTTCATAGCTTATCATGGTATACTTCATTTGACATCAGGTAAAAAATTTTTTTTGTATTCCTAGGTAAATTTTTGTATTTATAGTAGTCGCCAGGTTCTTGCGATTTTCGAGCACACATAAAACCAAAATAAACATCACAGAATGAGACCAACTCGAAGGGTATAACATGTAGCCGGGTAGTCTGTTTTTGAAAGTGGTCCTTAGATTATCACGCAGTTGGTAACCGAGATGGACTACGTTGTTTTATATGCGGCAACTCGACCCTTTTAGAAAGGTCGCCAAGAGGTTGGCCTTGCCGTAGTTAAGATAAAACTCCCCAGCGCAGATCACTATAAGGAAATCTTCCTGATATGCAAATAAAAAAAAAATTCTGAGAAAGATAAGGCATGTATTTAAGCTCTGATTTTAATTTGAACTGATCAAATACTTGCATCGAAGAAAAGCAGCAATATAATTTACTCAGTTTAATGTACTGAGAACTAATCAAGTTTTCTCCTTTATCTATACATTAAAGAACTGAAATTTATATGTATACATGCAAAATTTTGTTGATATAAATCTGTTAATTTTTTTTTACGTTGAAGATTTACATCAAACAGAAAATGCATAATTGGCGATCGAAATGGGCTTAAAGTAGCGCGTAGCAGAACTCTTTACCTATGTCAACACCACTAGGCATGCTTTCACCATTACATATTATTTATACCTCTTGTTTAAAAAATTAAGAACTGCCAAGAATTTTTATTTCCAATGTCAGCTTCTAAATTCATTCAAGTTTACATTTAAATTACAAATAAATTTGCAGAGTTTAGAAAATTTATAAATGAATAATAATTTTTTGCTTTTGTGTGATTTACGTCCAACACCAACAATTTAATCCATTTAATTTGAACTTATTTTAAGTTTTTATGAAACTATTTTGTGATAGATCATGATGTACCAAATATTTGCTTTAAAAATTTTATAATTTTAAACTTAACTTATATTTTATGGGATAATTTTTCAAAGAAGTTTATTCTAATTTTTTTATACCCTACACCATAGATTTACCCAAAAGAGTTAATTTAAATAATTTATTTATAATTGTTTTTAATCTGAATTGTAAAGGCCTTCAAATGATGCATCTGAAATTGCATGAATATGAATTGAGGTGTTCTAGTTAAAAATTGCATCAATACAAATCGCGATGATTGATTTTAAAATTGCACAAATAGGAATCTCAATGTTTGATTTTAACATCCCGTGAATACAAATTGCAATGTTTGATATTTGAAATCGAATTCATACAAATAGTGATGTTTGATTTTAAAATCACATGAACATAAATTATGATGTTTGATTTTCAAATATCCAGAATGCAAATTGCAATATTGAATTTCAAAAATGTGTGAAGAGTGAATATGAATCGTGATATTGAATTTAAAAATGTGTGAATACAAATCATGTACATTGATGTTTGATATTAAAATCATGCAAACATGAATCACTGTATTGGATTCTAAAAATGCAATTGTGTGAATGCAAATTGCAATATGTAATCTTTTTTCCATGTCAAAACAAATCACAAAGTTAAATTTTTAAATCACTTAAATTTTAATAGTGTCTTATTTTCAACCCATGGGGTTGCTATATCATGATAGTTGATTTTTTAAATTATATGAAAATTCCTGTTAATTTTTAAAAAGTGCCCTCAAAATGTAAAAATTTCTGCTAGTGTATTACGTCGATATTATCTATATCTATGCTTCTATATCTATGCTTCTATATTATCTCTAGAATGGGGCTTCTTTAGTTTTGATTGTTGTTCAAGATTCAAATGAATTTATGGGTTTGGGGGCTTAATCGAATCTGAAGACTTGTTAATATTTATGCTATGCATGTTTCATTTTCAGTGATTTGCTTTGAACTTACAGCATGAAATCAGGGTTGCTTTTATGTGTGTAGGATGCACTGTATTTTTTCCAACACATTGATTTTCTTAATTCTATGCTCTAGAAATTTTTTTTCTTCTTCTTGTATGTTTAAAAATGCCTTTATTTTTATTATTCAAAGAATTTATTTTTCTTGCTAGGGATAGATTCCTGTAAATGGCTGCTTAGTGATGGCCGTTTCCAAGGGTTCAGTGTTTGGCAACCATATGGATGTATGATGCACTCCTATTCCTCTGGGTAATGTTTTTTTTATTACTTATTGATCTAAATAATATTTTTATTACCTGATTTCAAAAAATTTTATTAAAATTTCCATTTCTGTGGAAGTTTCAAAATATGTTTTCTTTTTATCAATGTAAGTGCATAAGCTTAAATTTTTTCTAATGAGCCATGGCTGCAGTTTTTTTCACTTACTGATTAATATTCTTTCAGGGTGTCCAGCAACAGGGAAATTCTTGAAATTATTAGGGAATTTATTGATTCTGGAAATATCAGGGACTTTCTAAAATTTTTTAGTAAAGTAGGGAAAAGTTTTAAGGCAACAAGCTATCGATGCTTCCGTGAGCAGCGCTTCACTAAGAATGACACAACAAGTTTTCTCTCATATTTCTTCCAAGTGGTCTTGAAGTTTCAGATTGATCTTTCAGCTGTAATTCATAATTTTTCCTGTCCAAAATTTATACCTTTGGGGAGGAGGAGAAAGCACCCCCTTCAAGAAGCAGTAACTTAGGGGTGCACTACCTGTGGCTCCCGACTATTGATGTGCGTCCTGCGAGAGCTTCTGAACATAATTTGTTTTGTTTTTTTGAAAAATGAAAAATTTTAAATTGCAAATTTTTTATAACTTTTTGATGCTCTGAATTTGCACAGATTTTATTATAAATCTTGACTTATTGTTTAACTTATGTCTCGATCACTTTTTCAGCTGTTATTGCTACGAAATTCTATATGATTTCAAAAACCCAAAATATTTTTTATATCATATTACGATGTGCGAGTTTAGAATTTGAATAATAACTTTTTCACTCGCATTATTTTTGCCAATTTTATTATAAATCCAAGTGATGTTTCAAGTGTTTTTTGGCATTTATAACTACCAATTTCTATGCTGTTTTTAATATCCTGATATATTTATTTTTAATAAAATATGAAACTTATAAACTATTAACCATTAATGTATTATTTAAAAAATTTTGGATACCTGGAATTATACATTTAACAGGGGTGATTATATTGCAGGGTTTTCGTATCATCCTTCTAGGTCTAAAAGCTAGGAGTAGGGTGTGTGATTTTTCTGTGAATTTCGTGGAATTCTGTGTATCTTAAGACTCTTGATTCATGAACTTCTGCTAATTAAGAATTGTACTCCAATTAAATTTTGGCAAAGTATTGAAATATAAAATTTACATTTTGAAACTTTGGCTAAATCACATTAATTGGACATTTTCATACATGTAATTCTTCTGCCAATTTCATTTATTTTGGTTTGTAAGATTTTCACGACTTTTAATATTTGAAACTACGCTGGAATCTTCTAATATTGCACTTCATATTCACGTGATTTTAGTATCAAACATCGATTTTTGTAATTACCTGATTTAAAAGTTACACATGGGGAATCGTATTCACACGATTTAGAAATTGGATTTGTAAGATCTGAATCTAAGTACTATTACAAATAATTGATCGCCTCTAATGAATGACATTTTATCCAACTATTATACATATATCTTTATAACTTGCATCATATTTAAAACTCATTGCTTGATTTTATTGACAGGCGAATGTCTTTTTATTCTATGAGATTTCTTCTTTCTACTTTAGGGATTCCCGCATGTGTTTACAATACATAGCTTACTGGGGTGGAAAAACATATATTGTATTTATTGGAGATTCTAGAGTTCGTCAACTATTTTATAGTTTCGTGTCACTGATTGATCCAAAGTATGTGGTTGAAAATAAATATGTGCATCATGACTTACAGTTTAGTGATGAAGAATTAAAAGTTAATGTTGTAAGTTTTTATTTACATTTATTGTTTTATATTATTAAAATTTTCAGTTAATTGTATTTATATTAATGCATAGTTTCAGCTTCTATATTTTTTTGCAGTCAAGATTATTTTAATATATGAATATATATACAATGTAATGAAACATTAGCTACTGTATTATTTAAATTATAACTAGTCAATCTATTAAAAATGTTTATCACTTAAAAGAAAACTTTTCAGTTTCTTTTATTTTTTCATTTACAATATTTTTCTTATGCTTCTTTAATTTTAGGAATTTATCTGGAGCCCCATGGTAAATGAAACAATGTACGATATTTATAAGCCTTGGCAAGAGGATTTCAGTACTCGACCCTCTTTGATTGTTACAGGAAGTGGTCTGTGGGCTATTAAATTAAGTAATGCTAGTATAGATATGTTTTATGGTTATGAAAGAAATTTAACATATTTAGTTCCAATCCTTAATAGTTTAACACCTGCTACAAAAATTCTTTGGGTTTTACAAGATCCTGTACAAACAGAAAAGCTCGATCCTTCTAAAAAGATGATCACAAATGAACAAATTGACATGTACAATAAAGCTGCTATGGATGTATTGTAAGTTTAAAGTTTCTTTTAATTCTTAAGTTAAATTTCTATTTTCCTACCAATTTTTTACTGGGTTGTTTGGAAAATAGTTTTGATTTTTTACCAACTAGGACTTAATTATATTTTTTCACAGCCAACTTTACATTTAAGCCTCCTAATCATCATGTAATTTGACAGCTGATATAGCAAAACTTTCTTGTGAAAAAGTTAGTTCATTGCTACGCTGTAATTTTTGGTTGGTTCCTTTTCAACTATAGATAGTGAAAAGCTGCATTTTCAGCATGTATTTTTCTTACTGTCAATAAGGTAAAAATGCTGTTTAAGCAAGAAAAAATTTATTTGATGTGTATGGAGAAGATGTATTAACTATAAGCCAGGGCTAAAACTGGTTCTCAAAAGTGTGATAAAGTGATCAACTGGTTCAAAACTCAAAAGTGATCAACTGGTTCAGTGTGATAATTAAGATTCGCCGTGTCAGGTGAAGCTGATGAGACACAATAAAAGCTGAACTTGTGAGATCACTAAAAGACTGATTTATTGCCTGCTCCGAAATACCGTTTTTTCTTTCAAAATTTTACCAAACTGCTCCAAAACTCTAATAGTATTAGTTAAGCAAAATTTTCAACTTTAGAGCAATTTAGCATCAAATTTGTATGCAAAAAGAAGACAATTATAGCATAGAACTAAGCACATCAGAATTTAAAAAACTGTTTCATTGACAGTCTGACGATAACAAGATTCTATCTGAGTGATTCTTAGCATTTTTTCAACTTAACAAAAATTGGAATTAGAAATATCTTAAATGTAATATATGTTTCTTGATTTTGGCATTATGTCCTGAACTATACTTAAGTTCTTTTCTTCTGAGACTGATAGTGTCTGAAAAATTATTTGCCAATCAAACTCATTTTTTTTATACAGATATATACACAATAGGGCTTTTAGAGTTAAGAATGAAGATAATTTTGATTCATTTTCTTTTTTATGGAAATATTAACTTCTTAAAAACAAATATAAATCTTAAACTTAACAACAATTGACATAGTTTTAAAAGATAGCTCCCCTTATACCATTCAAAAACACACAGAGCAACTCTTTGTGTTATAAAAATGTTGTTAAAAAAGATGTTATAAAATATGTTATAAAAATGAAGCCTGTGAAAATTCTACTTTTTTTAATGAACAGTGTCTGTCCTAATTAGGGTTTAACATACTTTGCCTCAAAAATGAAGAAATTAAAAAAATTGTTTTGTCTTTTGTGGTAGTGTAAAAATTTAGTGAAAGATGAATTTATTATGCTTCATATAAAATTTAATCTTTTGAACATCTTAAAATAATTTTATTTTATTTTGAAATTAAATTCATTTACTTATTGTATATCTTTAAAGAATTGAAAAAAATTGCATCTAACGTTTGTAAAATATGTGAATTTTAGATTTTTTTGACGTAGAAGCAGAGCTAGACTGTTGTTAATTGTTATTAATTACTTTAATTAAAAAAAATTGAATAAAGAGAACAAATTAAATGAGTTAAAACAGCTGCTTTGATGCTATAAAGAAACAATGATCTTCAATGAAGTTTTGTTTAGATATGACAATGATGAATGTATATGTTAGTTAAATGAAGGAAGAATATTGATACATAGTTTATTTTTGTATTGAAGATATTCATATTCCTTTTCTTTTAATATACATAGTTTTTTTTTTTTTTTAAATATTTTGAAGTATTATTTTTAAACCTCTAGCAAACTATTTTGATAGGCAAGCTTTTATTACTTGAAATCTATAAAATTCTGATTTTCTTGGCAGAGTTTCATAATGAGACTTGTTATCAAAGTATGTATTAATCGACAACTAATACATATATTTTAAAAAAAATTACAAAGTTTTAAAAAGTATGTTGCAATCATTGTTTTACGTTTTTTTTTCTGCCACTATGTTTTAATCCATATTTTTTAATTATTTAACTTATAAATTAAGCAGAAGTGTTAAATTTAAGAGAATTGAAAAAAATATTTAAAAGACAGAGATGATTATCCCCCTCTTTTCCACTAATTTCTGCTTTAATATGATTTTTACCCGACTTCCAACTTTTGCTTGATACTTATCTGATTTCTCCTATAAAATGATACAAAGAATTTGATATCAGGAAATGAAATCTGGAGTTATGCAATTACAATATCTCACTACAGCATGAAAAAAATAAAAAATTTTCTTTTGTTTTGTGTAAAAAGATTACTACTGCCAAAAGAATGACACACTTGGTTTCAGGGTAGCACAAAACTGTTGTATCTTGAAAAATTGTGGATTTTAAATGAAATAGTTACCACTAGAAGGCATCATTAAGTGATTATTCAAAAGTGCAATACCAAATTTGCAGATTGTAAAAATTTTTCAAAACAGAAATCAAAATTTTATAAACTATGTAGAAATCCCATGCAATAACTTTTGAAAATGTAATTGACAAAACTGTTGAACATTCAAACGATCAAAAATAGAGTCCATCAAACAGTGATTCTTCCGGTATAAAGCAATGTGGCATTGAAAAATAAAAATTTTAAAAACCATGAAAATCCGTGGCAATAACTGGCAAAAATGTGAAAGTAAAACCTAGTGGGTTTATAGGGAATCATCAAAAATCGAGTGTGTCAGAAAGTGATCCTTCAAATATGTGAGTTTTCCGAACTCCTTATAATCGATAACAGTTGTAATCATGACTAGAAAATCAGTTCAAATCATAAGTAAAATTTCTGTTTAAATCAAAAATTGAAAATCATTTGAACCCTGATATAGAAAGTCTGGTCATACCAAAAGTAAAAAAATAATAACATTTCAAGGTTGAAATATAAGTAGAAAAGGTTATAAATCTAAGTAGAAATTAGTTTAAAGTGAAATTCGTAAGTTAAAACATGCTGAAAAAACTGTATTGTAAATGCTGTGTAACTGATGAAGAAATTGGAAGGTAATATAGTTTAATGATGTTCAGGAAATATTGTAAAGTTATATTGCTATTTATAAAATGACTTGATTTATTACTAGAGGGGCCCTTCTATGTACACATGTATAATACACAGAAATTTCCTTTTTAAAACATTGCACCCTGATGACAGCTTTTGCTTTCGATTTCAGACAAATTCTTTTTTACATTTGTTATATATATGAAACATAACTTACTTATTAATCATATCAGTTCAGTCCAGTGTTTTAATTTGAACTTTATTGTTCTATTATCTAATAATTTTTAATATTTTTTAGGCATGGCAGTAAAGTTTTAATTTGGAGCTCTTCACGTTTAGTGAGTCAAGTCCTTTATCAAGACCAGGTTGATGGTTTGCATATGGGCAAGAATGCTCTAAACTATGTAAGCAAATATGAACAAATGATACTTTAAAAAATTAAGTTCAGTTTATATGTTCTGCACTTATCTGTTTGGTACATGTTTTCCCTTAACTTTTGACTACAAGGTGTCCATACATCAAAGAAAAACCAAAACCTTGCATAAATTACTGCTAACATTATGGAAAGTTTCTGTTTTGAGTTAGAGATGCTTAAAAATACTTTATTTTAACTAATTTTCTGGTAAGCAATTTTCTTCTCCAAAGCATTCCCTTTGATGCATTAGAGAAAGATCATAGTTGAGACAATAAAAAAGTGACTTAAAGAAATGTTTGAGAAATAACCTTATATAAGTATCAAATTCCAAGTAAAGTAACATTCATGCATACTTTGCCACAGGGTCAGTACAAGCTGATTTTGAAATGTAAGTAAAAATATTTTTGGTGCCCTTTCCATTAAGGATAATATTAATAAATATATACAAAGTAAAATAACTTTTATTGATTTTAAATCTACAGTATTTATTAATTTTCAGGGTGCCTCACAGCAGGGAAAGTAGAAAAAACCTGGAATTATCAGGGAATTTATTGATTCTGGAAATTTTTAAATAGTCCTGAAGTTTCGAATTGTTTATTCAGCAGTAATTCATCATTTTTTTCTGTTGTTTTCCAAATATGACTTGCAAAATGATATATTTAATGCATGATAATGGTGTGTGAATTTCAAATTTGGACTATCACTTTTTTTGAGGCGTTTGATTTGTGTTGATTCCATTGTAATTTCTCATCTTTTGATGATAGTTTTTTGAAAATTGTTTATAATTTTCAGCCCTCTTCACATGGTTTTTCAAATTCCGATATTTTTATACAATGCTAATAAGATTTGCAATTTGAGTCATTCGATTCAAGCAATTTCACCGTAATTTCACTTTGTTATATGATAGATTTTCGGCAATTATTTCTCCTTTTTTCACATAGTTTTTCAAATTATGATATTTTGATTTCTATGAATATTACGACATGCGAATTTGAGTTTTTGAGTTTACTTGGCATGTTTGATTAGTGGCAATTCCTTCGTAATTTCACATCATTTGATGATTGTTCCTTCACAACTTATTTACCAATTTTTTGGTTATTCAAATTCATATATTTTTAAAACGATGTCATTACAATGTAAGAATTTCAAATTTGAGTTACCGCTTTTTGATGTGTTCGATTCCATAGAAACTTCATGTCGATGAATGCACTGTTTTTCAGCTGTTATTTATAATTTTTTCCCCAGCTCTTTCCACGTGTTTTTTTTTTTAAAGTCTGATCTTCTATATACAATGCTATTTTAACATGCGTGCCTTTTGAACTTAATGAGTCACCTTTTGACTCTCTCTCAGTTCGCAGCAATTTTATTGTTAATATACGTCATTTAGTTATCGTTTTTTCAGCAGACGTATTGTCTCTTTTTTTTTAGTTTATTTCAGTGTGAGTTTTTTCTATTCCGATAGTTTTAATACCATATAATGGTTAGCGAATTTTGAATTTATAACCACTTTCTTACAGACTTGAGTCGCGAAGATTCAATCTCAAATCCACATAAAATTCCAATGTCCTTTTCGGCAGTTGTAACAGTTACTTATTGTTTTTTCAGCCATTTTATCATTATTTTTAAAATCTGGATTTTTTAAATATGTTATTATGACAAGCAACATTTTCAAAATACGAGAATCGTGCTAATTTAAAAACCAGTTTATTGAATGTGCTAATTTATTTGCAGAATTATTTTTAAGTTGCCCTTTGAAAAAAATGGGTTTTTTTAATAATACAATTATGGACTTCGTATATTTTGGGTTTCCTAAAAGCACTGCAAATTTATGTGAAATGCAATGCTTCTTTTTGTGACTAATGTTCTTTTTTAGGGAAATAGAATGCTTTATTTTTTTAGATATAGAATGAAACCTGCCTTTTTTTCAAATGCACAGTGTTTATTTTATAATATTAAACTGTCCATCAATATTATTTTTTGATTTTACTCTGATTAATTATATATTTTAAGTATTTATTTAATAAAATTCAATATTAAATATTATCAGCACGATAGATAAAAATCTTGGATTTGCAGGGAATTTGAAAATGTCTTCTCACTGGGCACCCTGATTTTTTTTCATAAAAATGTGATGCAAATTTCTTATATAATGTGCTTCTATTTTAAATTCTATTGAGCCAAAAAAGAATATCCTACCCATTAGTAATTTCAGAAGAACAATCAAAATATTGGACACCTATATTATAATAAAATTTTTGTTGATTTATCATTTATGCCATGTTTTCTCCGATGAAAAAAAATTATTTTTGTATACAATTATAAATTTTACCCTTTTTATATTTTTAAATTATTTAATTTTAATATGCCAAAATGCAAAACATGAATGAATCAATGTATACACATTGGATTATTCAGATGTGTACAGATATTTCCTTCAAAAGTTTCTTACTTGATTATGTGAATTCACAGCAATATATTTAATATAAATAATAGACTTTCTTTATTCCATTCATCTTAGAGTAATTTTCCTGTGTTTTATTTTTGAAAATTCTTTAAGAATAGCATCTGTGTCCAATTCGTTTAAAGTTTTCTATAGCCATGGTAGCTAAGCTATTTAAACGCTATTGAGATATTGTTGATCTCAAGCAAATTTTTATTGATCTCGGTTTTGAGAAACTTGCTACAGAAATAGGCTGAGTCAATATTGAAACAAGTCATAATACAAGATATAACTTTAAAGTTAGGCGGGTTTTTTGCTACGCCTGATGCAACACTGCTACCAAAAGCATCGTACACTTCTTCAATGTTTTATTGAAAAGATATCAATGCTTGCTTCTATTCTACTATCCTAACCAGTGCTGCTAAGTGGTTTTAGCGTTTGTATTTTTGCATTTTTAGTAAAGACTTTCCACTGACAAACTAATACTGATTAAAAGTCTTTGTACTATCTGAATCATATCAACAGCTATTGGACAGGACAAAGCAGCATCATTTGCGACAGGATTTAATGAGAGGTTTAAAATACCTGAGGCACTCCAACATGCTTTCCTTTAATATTTGAGTCATTTTCATAACCCTTCCCCTCATATTTTAAGTTGAAAATTCATCCAAAAAGCATTCTGTTAATCCTTCTCCTGTAGTGCCTGTTACTGGAACAAATCCTAAAACACCTTCAATTGACATTTCTTCTTTATTATACATATCTCACTCTTAACGAGCAAGATTGGCAGACGTCACTTGGCGACTAAATGAAATAAAGTGTCTACCAAAACAGTTACCATCATTCCACTGCCTCTTTTTATCATTTGACACCCCATCCTCACCACCCCTTTGTTTCTGGAAATGCACCCACTTAATGGGCATTAGAATGTTTATTTTTAGTAATTTCTTTTTTTTATTTTATTTAAATGTTTGACAAGTTGTATGGTAATGAATTTTTTTTAAGGAATTTTTAAATAGGCTAAATTCAAACACAATAAAATTCAATCCTAACTTTTTTTCTATCTATTAAATGAAAGGATTTTATTTCTTAATTATTGTCTGATATATTCTTTAATGACTTTTTTATTGATAGTTTGTTTCAACATCTTTAAGATACCAAGTGATAATGAAGCATATCAAATGACAATGAAACGGGAATGACAAAAATAGTAAATAAACTCCTAAAAGTTATATTTGAAAAAAAAAAGTTGAACAATAAAATAAAATACGAAAAGGGAGTGATTAAAGGATATGATTTATCTGAGAAAATAGAAAAATTGAAAAAGTCAAATCAAATGCAAAAGATAAAATTAAAAATTAAACAATAAAATGAATGAAGAAAGAATGAACAATGAAAGAATACAGAGATAAATAAAACTGAGAGCAGCAATTGCGGAAATTCTAACCTTAATACTTAATATGTTCAGCTCTCTTTTTCTCTAGTAAGCTTTATTGTCTTATTATTTATGTATTTTATTTCCTAATTTGCATGCTAATGTTTTAGTAGTTGCCATTAAATGGTTAAACTCCCTTTAACTCAGAAAGTCAGTTTGTTATTGTATGTAATTCCTCTTCTGCATTTTTGTCACTTTTGCAATTATTGTGATTTTTTTCCTCCTTTGGTTTTCCAAACTTGAGAAAAAAATTTACTGACTATTTTTTCTATTTACATAAAAGACATAGTTGTTTTTTTTTAACTTGCGTAACTATAATGAATTCTGTGAGTAACTGACTGACATTCGTGAAACAAAATATTAAATGTTTTGTACTACCAAAAATATACATCTTTTAAACTGATTTTATCCCACAGTATATTATCTTTTTTAGCTCAATCCACTGGTATAATTAAGTTTCCAAAATACTTGAAAATAATAGGATAATAAGGATAATTTAAAAATAGTTAAAAACTTGATAACTTACTATTAATGCAACCTGTATGAAAAGTTGTAGTTTTATTCAATTAGAATTTTTTTTTGAAATTCAGATAAATTTTAAATAAAGTTACATTAGATCTCACTGAACAACATATATGTTATCAGTATGTCGCATTTTTGTTCCTAAATATTTCTGGAATAACGAATGACAGTAATTGCAACAAATTGATTACTGACTGATGGCCTGGTAACTGACAGATACTTCATATTTTCGTCAATATCCTTATGAAATAAACTTAAGTTGTGTAGTAAAATTTAATAAATTTGTGTTGTTTTAAGCTAATTTTTAAAAATGAAGTTAAAAGGAATATAACTGAGTTCATTAAACTCTGAAATATTTAGTGGCATGCAGTCATGCAGTTGTGTCTGAATAACCTGGGGGCAAACTCCTCTCTTAAATACCTTTAAAATTAGGAGTATAATCACCGGAATACACTATTTCACGAAGAAGAAAAAAACATTATAAAATATGTACAGTGGAGCATCGTTTATACGACGCCGAAGGGACCCCTGAAAAACGTCGTATAAACGATAACGTCGNACATTATAAAATATGTACTTTGTGATGTATCGCTGATAGTGACTCGCTGATCAATTTGATAAAACTTTGATTTATTGATAAATTTTATCATTATAGGCAATGCCTATTTAAATTATTTAAGAATTTTCATATTTCATACTTACCCTAAAAAGAGCCAGGCATAACGTTGTATCTCACAGCTATTCGTATTTTCAGTCTAAAAGAATCGCATGTTTTTGTAAACTTAGGCTATCTTGTGACAATTTGTTGTTTTCAACTGAACTCTGGGAAATATTACTTATTTTGAATTTTTAGTGTATTAATTTTGAAAAGTAAAGGAAGCACAATTTTTCAAGTAGTTACAAAAAATAAATAAAAAATTAAGTAGTATTTTTTTAAGGAGATATGTGTAAAAGTATGTTAATTTTTCTTGAACATTTTTTTTACATTCAAAAGAAATTTATTAGATTTCTAGTATTGACCTTCTCATTTTTTAAAAGTATCATTTCCTTTAAATCAAATATAAAAAATAATGTATGTTTGTTTTAGATAAATTACCTATTTTGCTCATTTTGATTGAAATTTTGTGCATTAAATTGTTTTTGTTTATTTGAGTGGATTTAAAGTAAAAAGTATAACTAATTACCAAATTGCTAAATTGGCACAGGATGTCCTTTCTTTTTTTCACTTTTTTTTATCTTGTGCAAATGATGGTACTGATGTGTAAATCATTGATACTTTAAAATTTTTCAGGCAATTCAAATACTTCTTAATATGTATTGTAATGATCACATGAATTACAATGATGGTACTTGTTGTAGTAGTCCTGAGCCCATCACTGTGCTACAACTTATTACTTTTTCTTTTCTTGGTGTTAGGTAATTATACATATTTTAATTTATGTTAGTAAATCACTTTTTACACTCTTTCCCCTCTTATGAGTTTTTTTAAATTTCATTTTATAACCGTCACACACTGAACAGCCGACCCAATTTTTTGGGTTTACAACTACTAATGTTCAACTTTGTAGCCTTGATAGTAATATCGTCCATTTTTTTTTAGCCAAAACCTGAAAAGTAAGCAATCTTTAAATTCACAGTGGTAATGAGTAACTAGTGAAATTTAAAAAAAAATAGATCTCATGTATATTACAATTATTTCAGGTAAGAATTTTAATACAAAATGGTTAAATTTTCTTAGATTTATTAAATTCAGAATAGAAATTATTCAAAATACTCTTTAACTATTTATTGTTTCAAATTTTTTCTTTAATCTGACCAAATTGGCTGTTCAGCTGTAATATTCAGCCGGCTCGTAATAATGTTTTTTAAAAATTTAGTTTTAGTTAATGTTTGTTCTATGTTATCTTTTTCAAAATTGAAATATGTATTAACTATATAGCTGCTGTGTCTTAATTAATAAATTATATTTCTTTGTAAGTTTTTAAAATTTGCAGTGCAAAATAACGTTTCTTTTTATGGTTTTTAGACTAGTCTAATCATATAATCTGCACTTTAAAGCCTTGTTTAATTTAATTTTATTTCTTATAAAACATATTTTACACATTTTTTTTACCATCAAAAACTAGATTTTGTTGCTATTCAATAGAAAATTATGGGTATCACCTGAAATATAGCCAAAATGTGGCCTGTATTTTCTTTCTTTCTTTTTTTTCCCTGGAAGAGCGAGAAAATTTATTTCTACAAATAAGTTGGAATCATATTAAAAAGTAATTATAAAAATAAATAAATTATTTATTTCTTCTCACAAGAATTTAATGTGCTAGTTAAAAATAATTTTATCAGTTGAATGCTTCTTTAGTGTTAAATAAAAACTATTAGTAAATACATATTAATTTTGTTTAAACCCTGTAACTTGATTGCTTCTTAAAGGAAATCAAAATGTTTTAATTGCCTGTAAATAATGTCATATTCTGATGAAGTTTTTATGCTTATTTCAAGATCAAAGCCATCAGAGTAAAACTTCATTTAAAGTGGCATTATAAGGAGTATTTGAACAATGTTTGAGCATTTTAATATCATTTGAACTACTAAATAATGAAGGAAAAAAATATATAATGAATGATTCAACAGTACAGAAAATCTATGCGAAAGGTAGCTTTTACTTTTTTGAGAAAGGTATTCAAACAAATAATACTTGATTTTTTTTCTTCCATCCCCCTTTCGAAATGTTAAACCCTTCCCTCTCGCTCTTGTCAAAATCACGGGTGTGCTTTCGTCTCCTATTTCTCGTACCCATGACATTTCTGGGCTAGAGCCTTTAAAAGTAATACATCAATGAAGATATAAATATATCCATCTCTTGTGCCCGGAATTTTTTAATTTCTTATTTTACACACTAATTGTCTGTATCAGACTATTTTTTAAAGTAACTGCAGATAGTTCATTTTAAACTTGCATCTCCTGCTTTTAAATTTATCATAAGTTTATCGTAAGTTTTATGCATTTCTGATTTAATGTTTAAAACGCGTATTTTTTAATTTTCCTTGCTTATTGGAAGACCAACATTCATTCTCAATAACATAAAAATGAATGTTGACTTCACCTAAAAAATTACATTTTTTAAGTTTCAAGCTAAAAAAAGTTCTAAAAATTAATGCATATAATGTATATCTTTTTCTTAATATAATTTCCTTGAATAAAAAATAGCACTTTCGTGACCCTTTTTTTGAAAATAATAAGATTGTTAAGGGGTTTAATAAAAGATAGAATAATGCTAGTTGCGTCAATCCACAAAGCAATCGTTGTTATTAGGTTTCAGTTATGGGAGGCTCAAATGATAGCAATTTTTGTCATCAATGACAGACTGAATATTTTTTGTGTGGCAGGGATGAATGACTTCCTCTAAAAAAACTGAAATCCGCTTTTTTCTCCTAATTTTTAAAACTGACCATGTTCAAAAAACTGGAATTTTTGGGGAGTCCAATTATTAGAGAAACACCCTTCCCCACGATTGCCATATCCCAAGCCGCCTGGACGATAACCGTACGTGTAAAAAAATTTTTCCCCTTACAGTAGCCTCCTGAGAAAGAATGATTGTTGGGAGAAAATGGGTGGAGCTTCGGCAGGTGCGCTGTTGTCTTGACATTCACGACTTCCGCTGTAGCGAAAAAGATGAGGTTCTTAGTTGTAGAGTTCTCTGAGTTTTAAGCGGTTTCTTCTCGACAGCCAATATTTGATCCTTGGTTTTCCTCCTTAGAGCGATGCATATTGAATTTGCACATACGTTCATTATAGTTCTCTCTGTTCCGCTCCTTGATTTTGGTCGTTCAGGTTTTTCTTTCTTTTCTTGTGTATTTTTCAAGTTGTGCATTGTAGATAGCTGCCAACTTTTAGTATGAAATCTTATTTGTTCCGAAAATATGATTTTAGGTCAAAATGTTCTAGTTTTTTAATATTCTAGCTCCTTTTCATGCCTAATCCCAATTTTCTTTCAACCAAGGGCGGGTCTAAGAATGAGGAGCAGAGCATCTGATTTTTCCGTAAACATCGCAAAATTCTACGCATCTCAAGACCTATTCACGCACTTTTAAAATCCAATATTACAATTCATAATCATGGGGTTGTATTATCAAACATCGATTTTTCGTATTAATACCCGATTTAAAAACTACTCATTACGATTCTTATTCGCGTGATTTAAAAATTTTGCATCATGATTCATATTCACGCAATTTTAAAATCCAATATCGCGATTCTTGGAAGAAGCTTTTTTTTTTTTGAATCAGTTACTATAAAGATGTGATATTCTTCATTAGTAAGTAATTTAATTAAAACTGTTAGATCAAAAAATTATATTAAGTATCAAATGTGTATGGTTTGTAAATATATGGATATTTTGATAGTGATATTTAAATTTTTGATATTTTAATTTTCACTTTGTGTCATAATTACCCCTGATTAACTTATTATGCTTCGTATTCCTATTTTGTTTTTAGCAAGATGGCAGCTATGAGTAAGATAAATGTATTTTAACAATGGTAATCCTTTTGAAAGGCAAATACAGTGTGTATATTGAGGCGAAAGTTGGCGATTGTTTTAGTGTAAAATTATTGACTGGTTTAAACTTAAAATGCTGAATATTTAGCCGTAACTTCCTATAATTGCTTAATTTTCTTTAATATAGTAGTGGTCAAAGAATTTTTAAATTATATTTACATTTCACTGCCTAAATGCTCCTGCCACTTTTATATAAAATAAAAATCGGCAAAGTTATAAAAGTTATACTTTTATATATCTCATTGATATCACAGTGTCATAATAGAACACTGCTCCTCCCAGTGACTGCATTGTTAAAGTTCAGCTTTTTTTTTTATCCACTTTCATACCTGGTTTAGTTTTTAGTTATCTAGCTCCATTAACAATGTACATTGTACATTTAAATGGTCCTTGCTAATTTTCTTAGGAAAAAAAAGCAAATAATTTCTTCCACAAAGAGCACTCCTTCAGAATTAAAATCTAATTCATATGTTATGAATGCATAAACAAGCGCCTCAAAGGGACTGAAAGGTACACAGGTGAAGATAAAACAGGAAAAAATTTGCTGATGGATAGAAGTAAGGAAAAATAAAATAAAACAAAAAGTCTGTGAAGAAGAAAAGTATAATTCAGATAAGATATTTTTGTAATTTTCAAACTACAGAATCATTAAAGAGTAACAGAACTAAGATCATTAAAGAGTAAATGTGAATAAAATATACTTCATAGATGCCAAATTAAGAAAAGAATTCATACTAATTAAAGCAATTAAAAACAATACTTCCAGTGGAACAACGCGTTAAGCAGCTGAAAATCCGAAAGGAATTGAAACAAAAGAAACAATGAAAAATGAATAAATATGACAACTGAAGCTGACGTCTTCTGGGGATACCAGCTCCGGAAGCCATAAATGAAAAACCTTTTCTATTGAAAGAGCACGACAAATGTCTAAATTGCTCCCTCTGTACCCCAAAGGTTTTGCCAATGTCCAGGAAGAGATTACAATACAAAATATAAAATACAAATGTATAAAATCAAGACAAATACATAAGAATAACATGCACAAAAACTTACTTGAAACATAAATCCAATAACCAAATTACACTACTGACTGCCAGACAACAGCTAAATTAAAATAAACGAAAAAACTGCACCCCCTAATTTGCGCAGAAGGAAGAAAAAAAGGATAGACCTTTGCGGTGCAGATAGATCAATCTAGACATTTGTTGTGCTCTCTTGATAGAAAAGGTTTTGCATTTATGGGTTCCGGAGCTGGTACCGCCTGAAGACGTCAGCTTCGGTTGTCGTATTTATTCATTGTTTCATAGATACCAAAGTATGCTCTGATGCCAAGAATAAAAAGGATAATTTGGAAATGAATGGAGAATGTGGAAGTTTCAACAGTAGACTGTAGGCAATAACTAGAGGATATCCTGATATTGCTCATATCTGTCATCTTCTTTAAATCTATGTTTTAAATCACATCTAATCTGACTACATAATTTGAAATTTTCAGACTTCAATATTGAGAGTAATATTTAAGTTTAAATATTAGTTTGAAACCCAATATGGGAAAAGAGGTCAGCATTTTAATAAAGGAAAAAGAGATGGCTGATAGGGTTATAATATTTATTGACAAAAATGCTGAATATGACTAATAAACAGCATTAAAGAGGCAGAAAAAAAAGAAAATCAATCATACTTGATAAAACATAAATTCCATTAAATTTAATTGCAATTATTTACTAAAACAAGAATTTATTTAACAAAATTTTATTATTTATTTTCCTAGTCATGCTAAATTTTATTTTTTAAAAAATTTTTAATCCTAATTGTTGTGGATAAAAAAATTAATTATATAAAAGTTTATTACATTGTTTATAAGTAACATATTGAAGGGAATGTACTTGCTGATAATATGTAGCGTGCAAAATAAAATAGATCATCTTTAAAGACTTTTTGTTCATATTTCAATAAGCTAAGGGCCAACCTTAGTCAGTGCCGGATTAAGTGTACGCGGGGCCCTTGGCCATTCAAATTATGGGGGCCCTTAGATTAATTTTTTTTTCTCATATATTTTTTATTTATTCAAATATAAAAGTATTTATATATCTTTTAATTCAAGAAAGCATATTTAAAATTAAAATAAATAATAATAAATTGAATTTTACTTTACTTTCTTATATTAGAACTAAAAAATATTCCTAACATTTTATAATCATAACATATATATTTGAAATTGACTTTTTTTAAAAATGTTTTTCTTAATTTTTTTAATTTTATTTTCAGAAAATCCATTTTAAGGAGGCCCCTAATCATTGGGGGACCCAGGCCATGGCCTAGTCTGGCCTATTGGGTAATCCGGCACTGACCTTAGTAGTTCAAAGGGAGACCTGAAATATGCTAATTAATTAGTGTCAACTGTCAATTAAGTTATGGAATTGGATGCAAAAATGTACTTTCTTTGAATAAACCTACCTTTTGACAAATTTGGATTTTTTACTATCTAAATATGGGGGGTACTCACAAACTTTCAACCGTTCTCACAACTGAACCGTTAGGACCATATTTTGAGAATGTCACTACTTCCCATATTCTGATTGTCTAAAATCCAAATACATTAGGAATAGGTAATTTTTCTGAGAAAGTATACTTTTGTAACTGATTCCATAACTTAATTTAATAGTTAGGATTAATTTGGATATTACCCTACTTTTGTAACTGATTCCATAACTTAATTTAATAGTTAGGATTAATTTGGATATTTGATAACAAATATGCTAATTAGTATTATGCCCCTTAAAATTATTAAGATTGGCACTTAATTTGTAAAATCCAATGATTTGGACCAAAGTTATTTACAATTATATCTTTATTTTTCACACTGTTTAGTGCGTAAAAGTTGATCACCCAGTACAACTTTTGATCAATTGGTTGGCTTAGTACGTACGAGACTTAATGGTGTGAGGGCCTAACCCTAAAAATGGGGGGGAGGGCGCAATTTGGGAAATATGGTCCCAATAATTTAGATAGATCAGTTGAAAGCTCTCTCGTATGCCTTTTAAGACAGAGGGGTGCCATCTATGGCCAAGAATTCTAATTCTGCCGCACCCTACATCACACCCATTTATTAGGCGGACCCTTCCAGTCATTCATCCACAGATCGTAATTCTAACCTGAGTCAGGGAACGATCAATCTCCAATTCAGTACCCCCAGATGTATTCATTTGTTATGGGAACATGGAGGACTATGCGACTTAACAGATTTTACATGCATCAGTCACCATTTACTACACGGGAGGTCTTGAAAGCTTTGACCCCTTAATGTTAATTTTATTTTTTGCATATTTCACGATATCTCAAAAAACTTTGTAAGTAAATTGAAAAATATTTACACACAATTATGAAATTTGTTTGTCCAAAGATAGCGAGTTCTATATAAGAAATTATTTCGAATAATTTATTATTAAATGATGTTAATAGTTGAAAAAAATTTTAATTGTCGGATATACCAATTTTTATATTATTTTAAAGTATGTAAATTTAAATACTAATTACAACATTTGAATGAAATCAATTTAATAGTTTCCGAGTTAGCCAATTTTGAAAAATGGTATATTTAAAATTTGATTTCTCTCATTTATATGTTGGATTTTTTTACTTGAAATGTCCTCTACTGTTTAATTTAAAATTTTCTATTGTATTTTTTAATATCTTATGTATAAGTATCCTATTTTGTAACTTAAAATATCTTATTTTAACAGTTCTCTGATTCATTTAATTACATATTTAAGGTTAGGCCCTCAAACAACTAAGATGAATCTTAATAAATGTTACTGTGGTGTCCTTTTCTTTGTATTTGTACATTCTATTTTCATTAATATGCAATCAAAAACGTTTTTCGAGTTATTAAAGTTTTATTCAGAATTTTGAGATTTTTATACCCTTTTAAGTACAATACTCTTACTATATTCAGTTTCTAAAACACTATTTCTTATTTAACTTTTTTTTAAAATTCTTTTAAGTACATGCAGAAAAAAAATGTTATAAAATGAAAACTTGCATTTTTAAAAAGAAAATTGTGTTTTTTCAAATATTTATTTTAAATTTTTTTTCCTTAAAAAATAGAGCTTGATTGAATTAGATGTTTAAAAAATATAATTGAAAGAAAAAAATGAATTTTTTTTATTTTTATCAGAATCACTCATGGAGGTTAAAGTTTGAAAAAAAAGTAGATAAAAGCAAAAAAAGTGTCATAACTTAATGCAAAAATTTAAATCATAATCTGATTGTTTAGTTTTCGATTATGATTACCAGATATGTTTGAGTTTGATTGTTATAGCTCTGGTTAGCAAAATATAAATTTTCATACACCAACCATTGAACAGCTAGATAATGATTTTGATTTATCAATAATGTGAGCTTTCATGACAAAAAATTTTAAGATTTTGTTATAAAAAGAGCTTACAAAGTTGTTTTGGTCTAGAATTCATATTATTTGTACTATTTTTGTTTAATATCTTTAGCTCAGAGCAATTGCACTTTTAATTTTTTTTCTTTCACTTTTACCTAATTCTTCCATGGGTGACTTAAAATTGAAGGTTATGCAAAACTTCTAATTCTATTAATTTTTGTATCATTAAAATTTTTAAATTTGATTGTTAATATATTTACAATTTGAAGGCATTTTATATAAATGTGATGAAAAATGTTAAGTACATGGAGATGAAGACCTGCCAGCATAGTTCTGCTTCATTCTAAGCATTTATGTTTAAAAAGTTTTGATAAAAGTTTGAAAAAATTTTCAATCAAAAAATTAGTGGCACACCATTGAATTTTCATAGATATGTATAGTAACTTTGTTTTATATAATTTCCAAAACAAAATGTATATGTTCACAAAAATATAGGTGCTCAATTTTTCTTTGATGACAAAAAAAAATCTTTTTTTTTTCTAGTGTATTGATTGGTTTCAAAATAATATTTAAAAAATAAATTGAAGGTTATGCTAACAATGCTACATTCTAGAAATTCAAATACACAATTTTCTCTATTAAAGTACCAATTTTTATATTGTTCGCATTCCAGTTATTACACATAGTTATACAATGACATAAAAATGACATGCTATTTCTAGAAATGTCCATACATAATTTTTTTTATTTTAAAAAACTTAATTTGCTGGAAGTTACCAACATAGAGAACCATTCTTATTTTTGATTTTTTTTAAAGTAGTTTTAGTAATAAATAGTTATATTATAATTATGAAATGAAGTTAATTTCTGAAATGAAATAATTTTGCAGCTGTTGTATAGCTTTAGCCATGGTGGTTCATTATAGATGGATTTACAGAAAAATTGTTCCTGCCAATGATCAAATTTTACCCAGCCAAGTTGGCAATGGTAAGAAGACTAAAAAATTTCATATTTTCTTCATTGGTATGACTTTTTTTTTATGAAATTAAAAATAATTTGGAATGGTTGAATTCATTCTGTTTTCTTTACTGCTTTACTTTATTAAGCAATGAAGCCTCTAAAAATTCATTCTTAAATTAATAGATACCTATTTTTTTTTTCAATTTTCCATTAAATAAAGAAAGGAAACTATGTTAAAAAATTGCTCTAGTTAATATAAAAAATATCTTCATATGAATGATATGATCACTTATTTTGCAAACTTTATAAGTTATCTTCTTACCACAACTTTTGATATACTTGTGGACTAGATCTATTACATTCAACCCAGTCAATAGCAGATTTAAGTTGGAACAAGTTAGAGACAAGCTGAAATTTTATCATTCATCAGTACCTAATGAGAGAAATATTTCTTTAAAAGTCCCTACCCTTCCCCTGTTTTTTCCCTGCCCCTCTTAAATGATTGTTTTACATATACTAAGAATTATGATCTGCCACTATTCTCTCTTAATTTATAAAATATATATAATTTTATTCCTAAAATTCTTTTTTTTTTTTTTAAATGAGTGTTCCAATTTTTCAAAGAATATGTCTTTGCAAATGATTGCTTAAATAGGAATGATTTATAATTTTATTTTTTATTGCTTTAAGAGAACAGTATTTCAGTTTTGATAATATCTCTAAAAAATCGATAAAAAAAGTTGTAGACCACTTTCAAAAGATTTGTATACTTTTACATACTAAACTCACCCTCCTGTCAATAATCATTCAAATATTATTGTGTGTGCATTTTCATTTTTATGTCCTTTTTTTTAGGAAGCCAAGAAACTACTCTCTTTGAATTATGCACAGCTCTTGGTCGTTTAGGAATTGTGATGTCCTACTTTTTTCTATGTGACAGGTAATAACAAATCAGCAATGTACCACAATAATAAAATCTTATAAAGCTAAGAAGTAAATCTGCCTGTTTTTGGTTCACAATTATCTATGTTCTTTAGAGAGAGACAATTTTTTCATGATTTGTTTTAAAGTTCTGCTGCATGTGATGAAAGTAAGTACAAATTGTATCCAGTTTTGGTTAGTTATTTTAATGTAGATCTTAAACATATTAAAAATACCCTATTGGCAATCCCAAAATTGGAAGAAAACTCCACAGGTGAAAATATAAGCACTCTTTTTTTTTTTAAATGTATTTACAATGCGGATAATGCTTCTGTTATTCAGGGAAATGAAAAGGGTGTTTCATTTTTAGAGAAAAAGAAAGGAGAACATTATATCTATTAAATGCTACTGTGCCATTTAATACACTTGGTGTCCGAAAAAGCTGTTGCAACTCTCCCTGTGAAGATAGAAGAGGTTTTGATTGATATTTTGTACTATTTAAAAAAGAATGTTAATTTTAATGACTCTCTTAAAAAATTTCAAGAACTGTATGGTAAAGAAGCCCTAAAAGTGCTGAAATATGTGTTAAAAACTAATTGTCACTAGGACGAAGCATGATATGATTGGTTAATCAATGGGATCCACTTATGAGTTTTTTTAGAGCTGAAGTTTCTTCTTGCAATGTGCCTTCTACTTTGTAGATGTACAAAATCCCTGAGGTTATTGATGGAGAAATAAAGCACAGAAGATAAATCAATAGTTAAACCTGTAGTGCCAAAGAAGAAAAATTTTGCAGCAAAAAATGTGGTTCCAATCAAAAAACATAAAACTAAATTTAGTTCAAATTTATCCAAGAAAGAGAAAATTTTTGTTTTTTAGCTTCAGAAATAGATGTAAATAAAAGTTACAGTTTATTTATTTTGAGTACTATTTTTACTTTTGAATAGATTAATGTGATTTTGCAGTCAGATTCCCCACAAATTCTTCGGTTAAGAACTTTCCTTTTAGAGCTGTTGAAAGAACTTTTTCTAAGTTTGTGAAACCTTCTGAAGGTAAAGGAAAAGAACTGACAGATGTCAGTTTTAATTTTTCATCTAGCCATAAGGATAGCTGATCAGAATCAGCATCCTCTAGACATAAGGATCAGCATAGTATAATCATAGATAGCGCTACTCAGGAACTAATTTCAAAATGTCCAGAAGAAGAGAAAATATTTATGCAGCAGTAATAAGATATTACTACCTGCGAGTATATAATTAAAAAATTTTCCTTAAATAATGAAATGTTAAAACATTCTTGACTTAAATAAAATTGAATATTCCAGTTTTGGTAAGCATAAGATATCTTGTAGATTTGTTCCATTTTCTGTTAACAGCAAAAAAGAGGGGGAAACTAAGCTTGCAACAATGGATGAATCAAAAGCAATTTTACCAACTTTAGTTAGAGGATCTCAGTGAAATAACTGTTCCAGGTAAACCAGCTCATGAGTGAGAGCAGTGATAAATGAAAGGTGCTGAAGACATGTTTAAATATGATAAATTGGCAAATATTGTTTTGTCTATTCTGCTTATTCCTGATTCCAATACAAAATGTGAGAGAGTTTTTACTTTAGTGAGGAAGAACCGTACTAAATCTAGAACAATTATGTCAATCAAAACTTTAGAAAGCCTGTTGTTATTAAAAGCCAGATTTTTTAAAATGAGTCATGAGCAAGTGTTTGAAGATGATTTTTTGATTAAGGCAACAAAAAAAAAGCCACTGCAGTTTCTTTAAATTCAACTTCCTTAAGTGCTGATTTAAACGAAAACTTTTGAAGAAACATTCTTTTGTTTTGTAAATAGCATTTTATGAAAAGTAAACCCTGTTGCATCTTTAAATTCATCTCTATCTTCTTCATACGATGGTGATTTTTTTAAAGAAGACTTTTAATGAAGCATTTTTTTTATTTTGTATATAGAATTTATTTTAAGTCTCATCATTATGATAGTTTTTTTTTTAGAAAAGGATTATTAATGCATTAATTTATAATTTTAATATTAATTGGAAATATGATATAACAAATTTCTACTCTTAGCTTTTGTGACTATTGAAAAAGTTCTTTTTGTTCCAAAGAAATTATATCTTGGTAAGTCTTAGTTATCTGCTAAATATTGTTAGTAAATTAGATTTTATTATGTGCAAATAAGATATATAAAAAAAATTGTGTAACCAAAATTTAAATTATTGAGATGCTTTTTGATGATTCTGTTTTTTTTCCTAAATAACCAAACAAATAAAATAGAATTTGCTTTTTATTTTAATAACGTTCTTATTTGAATAGCATTGCAATGAGTTGTATTTATAATTAATTTGTAATGTAATGTTACTTTTCAATTAGTTCTCATAAAAAGTTTAACTGATTCTAGTTTTTATAAGTTGGCAAGTATGCCTATCTTCCCTGATGTTTAGGACTGAGATCTTAAAGCCTTATATAAGATTCTTTAGAGGCACTGCTGATCTCCAGTTCATTTTGATTGACATGCATCCACAGGGGTCTGGTATGGTTGAGGAATATTTTGAAGTTGGAGTTATTCAGAGGATATTGTGACCTGACATATTTCCTTACCTGAATTCCATAAAGCTTTTCTGAGATACTCTTAGCAGAACAATTGCAGCTCGTCACATCCTTCCCTGTGACCTCTTGGTACTTAGAATTTTTTTAAAGGAGGAGTAGGATGTATTGTCCCAAAACTTTTGTCAATCTTGTAAATAGTATTAAAGTTCATTATATCGACTTGCATTGCTGTCAATGAGGATCAAACTCTATGAAACCTTCTGAAAGTGCCATTTAGCTACATCATTCTGTGATGCCCATTAATTTAAGCAATTACCCTATTCCTATTGTTAGAGGTCATGCTATTACCTTAATCCTATTGTTTTCATACTTTGATCTAATTTCATGTTAAATTTAATTTGATTAGGTTCCCTATTATTGAGTACTCCCCAAAAATAGTGTTTTTTTCCCCTTAACTTTTAAGCATATACAGTCGGACCTCAATGTAACGAAGTCGCTAAATCCCGATAATTTTTTTTTTTTGTGTCTATGACATAGCCGAATCAAATGTTTCTATGCGTCTTGATTACTGCTTCTGCAATTTGCTTGATGTTGTCGTCATAAAGGTCTATCAATGACGGCAAGACTCTTATTTCTCTCAGATTAGCACTCATTGCTGGACACTCAAAGATGTGGCATGGTGTCAGCTGCGTATCTAGGCAATTTCCGCAATTCCTATATACTTTCCTGCCCTCTCTAATCCTGATAATAAGTTCGATAAATGGAAAATTCGTTAAATAGAAAATCATCCTTTGAAATACTTAAATGACACAAATTTGGTTTCAAATTCATAAACGCTAGAAATAATTAAAATAGCAATGGATGCACCTTTATATTGTAAAGTAGTATCTACTATTTATTTTATAAATCTTAATCATAAAAGAAATCTGCATGGAAAGCAAGAATAGAGCAAAACATTATCCAGTGTTACACAATCATGCTATAAACATTTTCAACTAAAAAAAATTTAAAAAAAGCTAAATTTATGCATAAAATTATAGCTGCATTTATTATAAAAGTAATTTTAAACATACATTACCACATGCGTTCTAAAGTTTAATTGCTACTGATAAAATCCGTTAATTTTGTCGTTTATGTTTGAGTTTTTTGTTTGAACTCTGAACAAAAAGAGAAAAAGTGATTTTACTGCTTTCTCTAAAAGTTAAGTTGCTTTGAAATTCAATTCAAGGTTATTTCCCCCATAAAATGCGTTAACAAGTTTAAAATGTTCTGAAATATTTTGGGAAATAGGGAAAGTGGATCTCAAAGAAAAGTTCGTTAAATAGAAAATTCACTTTGCTATTTGGAAGTTATTTTACGAAGAAATTTCCAAAATGCTCTTGGTTCCTTGAAATAATTTGCAAAGTAGAGAAATTCGCAAAAGGGAAGTTTGTTATATAGAAGTCCGACTGTATATTATATATGATTAATTCTATCTATTTAATAAATATATATATTAAATTATGAATAAAGCTACTTGTGAACAATATACATTGTTTATTTATAAGTATTAATATACTTATTCAAGAATCATATTTATACTTTTGTTTCACTACATACCTCTTTTATATGACTTTGAATATCAGGCTAACTATACTTTATAGGTTGATATTAATTTATGCATAACAAAATGAAATACACTACTAATTATACTATGAATTTCTATTTTTAGGACTAATTTTTTCATGAAAGAAAACAAGTATTTCTCATATACTAACTTTTTCCTTCCATTGGGATATCTCTTTGTTCTCGGAATATTTTTTACTGAAGAAAGCCAATATGTAAGTGTCTCTTATGTTTTCCTTTTTAATGATTGGGTTTCAGATTTTCCTGTCAATCAACACCTGACAACTAATTAACCTTTTAACTGTTATGCATTCTAACAGGAATGTATAAGAATAAATGTGTCATATTTGCTTGACAGTCATTCAATTAACTCTCATGTATCATTATATACTTATGCTAGTGAGAAATAGTTAGTTAGAAAATACTCTGAGAGAAATATTACTAATATCATATCTTAATTATGTTATTTGTGGTTAAATTACTATTTGTCCGAAGTACAAAGTTTGTCCAAAGGACCATGTTTGCTTTTCCAAGATATTGATAAAGCTGTGATAACAGTGAACTTTAACTTTGTGTAAATTGACCACTTGTGCTTTTACTCATTAACATTAATTTATTGAATGTAAAATTTTTAAAAGCTTCACTAACTTTAAAGCAAAAGCTCAATCAACCAGAATTTTCAATGAGTGAAAAAAGTTTTGTTTCTTTTTTTCAATTGATCTTCTGTAAATATGTATATAGTAACAAAAGATTAATTGGAACAGATGAAAATCTACCATAATATATGAACACTTGTTCTTAATGGAATAAATGCCCCCTTTAATTTCACTAAAATATAAACAAGCAGTTAGCACTGAAAGAGCGCTAACCTCTAAACTGCATAGCTGCATCAGGATCAAGCTACGAGAAAGATACAAAGAATCCGTCGCCTCAGTAAAGAAGTGGGAAGTGAAGGGAAATAGCAACAAAAAAGCTGGTGATTTAGTATGAATAGCAGAAAAATTGCAGGTAATTTAGTGTGAATAGCAGAAAAGGTGAAATTATTTGAATTGGGATTTAGTTTGTACCTTATTAAAATTCCTTTAAATTAAACTCATTACCACTCTATCAATGATAATTTACTGAAAAATAAAACAACAGCAAGAATAATAAGTTCTGAGTAGATTGCACCAAATGCAGATAATTTTTCTTTCTGTCTCTCTTTTCTTCCTTTTTGCAGTTTCAGTCTATTTGCAATTTTTGCAGTCTCCTACTCTGAAGCTTCCAGAAGTTTTCTATATTTCCGCAGTTCAGATCCAGATAATTCACTTTTAGAATATATCTTTTTTCCTAAATAAAATTACAAAACTTAAGATCAATAGTAACCTTTCAGTGCCGTAACTTCACCCCTCGGGGCCCTGGGGTAAAAATTTTTGGCGGGGGCCCTTTCAAAAACTTTCAGTACTCCATCGCTATAACGGTCATTTTAGCTATTTATGTATTATGTTAGCGAATATGTTTATGAAAACAAGTTATTTGTTCGCATATAAATTGAATAATCATTGTAAGTTTTCCACATGGCAAAATACGAAATTTCAGCGAAATTGATTAATCCTGAGAAATTAAATTTTAAAAAGTCGTACTTATAAAACTCAATTTCTCAAAAACTATTCAACCAATTTCGCTCAAATTTTGAATTTTCCATGTGGAATTAGATACTTTAAAATGATACCAAAAAAAAAAAACTACTATATGCCTTACGATTCAAAAGTTTTCAGACTATTATTGTCCCGTAGTAGACTGATCGTTAAGACACGGTTTCCCAGCAGATCACCGAAGTCAAGCATCGCTGGCTGCTGTCAGTGTGCGAGTGGGTGACCACTTGCTTGGATCAGTCTGCGTAGGGACCGAGGGTGTGCGGTATGGGTTCTCGTTAAACTGTTGTACCGTAAAGTGCTCGACTTCGCGTGCAGATCACCGAGCTACCGAAGCGGGGGTGCCATATTCTCTGCAGAGGATCAAACCTCAAGGGTTGTTTCCCAGACCGTCGCCTATAGTCTACTGTGTAGCACAAGTGTGATGTAAATGATCAACAGCATCAGACTATTATTAAATAAAAAATAATAAATATTTACTAAAAGTTATTTTTTGCATGGAATTATTTTTAGATATAAGAATTTTATAATAGTGTGCAAAAAATTTTCAATTCCCTTAACATTTGGGGGTCCAAACTTTGGATAGCTCACCCGACTCAACTATTGGGACCATATTCCCCAGATTGAATCTGTTGAACAAAAGTTATGTTTATTCAGGGAAAGTATGCTATTGTGTCTAATTGCGGAACTTAAACTAAAATATCGGGCACTAATTAATTTGCATATTTGAAGTCACACCCTCGGATTATTAAGATGGAGTCCTAGAACGTGAAGATCTGATCATTAGGTAAATCAAAAGTTATGCAGGGTGGTACTTTTTTGGTTCACTGAACGTAAATGTTACCAATTTACGACATCTCACCAAGGAAATATGATTGGGGGTGAAAAAAGCTATTCATGTTGCCTACTCTTGTCCCCCATGTCCACAGTAGCCTCCTTTTCCTCTAAATATAATGCTAATCATAAAATACCAATTTTATAAACCTGATGAATCCGGTTACTATACCGTTGGGAAGGTCTTTTCAAGACAAAACCATTATAAAAATTAAAATTATTTTTTAGTTTCAAATCTAAAAGTTTTTGATCGCGTTATGGAAACTGAAGGAAATTATAAATTTTTTTTCTATCTGCACATATATCCACATTTTAAAAAGTCCTAATTGAAAAAATATACAGAATTTTTTTTCTCTATATGCATCGATTAACAAAAACAAAGTTGCCCTACTCCAAGATGGACAGGTCCCTAGAAAATATAGCTATATTTTGAAAAGAATTAGTTATTGAATATTTGGCCTATGTATTCATGACGCCATGTAATCATATCGCTGGTTCAAAACTGAAACGACACCACTCACTTCTAATTCAAATAACATGAGAAGATAGTGCAGAAGTGTCGTTTTAGTTTTGAACCAACGATATGAATGGCAAAATTATGACAAAGAGTTATAGTTTTTTTTTTATGAAAGAAAAATGAGAAAAAGTCAAAGCATATTTGCTAATTAAAAAAAAATTTCTTTTTAATGGTTTGTCATGGCAATGAATTTTAATTGCTAAGCTGACGTTCTAAGCTGATTTGATTTCTAAGCTGATGTTCATAGCTTTCGTATTCAATTAAATGAGTTTTTTTATTAAATTAAATATGATTTTTTTTAATATAATAAAGATTAATTTTATATAATAAAGATATGATTTTTTACATAATAAAATAAAGATTGCATTTCATTTTTTAATGAAAACCAAGTTGTTAAAAACCCTAAAAATTTGAAGTTCCAATTAAGAAATTTAAAGGTCTTAATTTAAAAAATATAAAATAAGAACAAAATCCATGCACACAATAAATGGTAAAATTATCAATTAAAGTACTATACAAATTAAGTTTTATATACGAACATAAAAAAAAGCAATTTTTATGTCACCATTCTTATAAAAGAATTCTAACAGTATATAAATATAAAATTTAAATGAGTTGATGCAAGCATTTACTTACCTCCTTATAAATAAATTTACATTTTGTTTTCTTGTTTTCCAAAGAAAATTTTTATTAAGAATGAGAATTATTGATATCACGATTCATGTTTGAAAAAATGAAGTTGCAAATAATTTTAATAATTCTTAATTAAAGCTAAATTTCAATTTCAGAAATTGAACAAAACAAAAGGTAACAGAAAATTTATAACTGAATTAAAAATGGTTAAATTAAATGAAGCAATTAAATGAGTTAAAAACTGGAATTTAAATGCAACGTTTAACGTTTGACTCAGAAAAAATCTCTTGACAAAATGACCTAAGTAAATGTTAACAAGAGTCATCCCCTTGGATCCCTTAAAAGCTTACATCTGCTTTCCTAGAACATCTAGATAATTGCTAATTTAAGACAACTTAAGGGTCCTATAGATGGTACTGTAAACATATGACATTTTAGAAAAGCACAAAAGAGCCCATGGTCATAAAAATGATTAAGGCAATTTAAAGAAGGAAAAGGTCATTTTCCCATGGTGTAAAAGGAGATGGCTATTTTTTGAGGAGTCAAATAACTGTGGGTCAACTCTGTGGGAGTATGAAGGTTTTAACACCTTCCTACCACCCACAGTCAAAAGATGCTTTCAAATATATTTATTAGTCTGAGTGTAGCTCCCCTTACTTTATATCAGAAGAAAATAAAGTTTTCTATAATTTAAGAAGAAAATGAAGTTTTCTATTTGGAAAATATCGTCGAAGTTATGAAACAAAACAATTTTTTTCTTCTAAAATTTCCAACTTTACCTGATTTTATTCTATTAATGTCTAAATTTTAGAAAATGAGAAGCAAATTTTTCTCCCCCTCACTTTCATTTCAGAAGAAAATGAAGCTTTCTATTTGGAAAATAGATTCAAAGATGACATTTTTTTTTTTAGTTACCAATTTTTATTTTTTTGAGCACTTTGAAATTTCAGAAGGGGCGAAACACCATGTTCGTCCCTTCATTACCATTTCGGAAGAAAATATAGTAAAAATTGGAAATAAAATACTTTTTCTACTTTTACTTTACTTTTCCAAAAGTCAAAAAACATATTAATCGCCCATAACAGAATAGCTTGATGTATATCTTCAAAGCTGAGAAAGAATAGCTTTTTTTCCCCTCTAAAATTACCTATTTTACTGGACTTCGTCTTGGCGAATAACTAATAGCAGAAGAGGCAAGGCACATAAATGTTGGAGGAATATAAAGTTTTCTATTTCAAAAATAGCTTCAAAATAAAAAAATATTTTTTTTTTAAATTACTGATTTTATTTGACTTTATTTTTGTGAGTGTCTAAATTTCAGGAGGGGCGAAACGTATCGTTTGCCCCATCATCTAAATTTTAGAGGGGCCTCTACCTCCCCCTGGTTGGCACGCCACTGGTCTGACGCAATTAACTACATGCAGCTGTAGCCGTTCCCCTTCTCTGCAAAGCGTGTTTGTTCTTTTAAAAAAGATAAATTATTTGCGAAACGGCTTTTTACCCTTCCCTTTATGTTATAGTAGGTACGCAATTACAAAAAAGAAAATTTTCATCAACTCTATCTTAACACAATTTCTTTCCCACATATATAAAATTAGAGTGCTTTATTTGGAAGGAAAAGAAAAGAAAAAAAAACATGATGTGGTCTTTTCATATGGGGCCCCCTTGACCGTCGGGGCCCCGGGGCGGTGCCCCGACTGCCCCGGCGTAGTTACGGCCCTGCAACCTTTAGTTTCTTTATCTTTCTATCAGTGTTGAAAAGATGCAAATTGACAAAATGGAGTTTCTTGGAAGAGGATATGTGATTAGAGAAAAGGGTTGGTGTATACAAGAGACAAAGAGTTCTAAAAAGTGAATAGAAACTTGATCTTCCTTGTGTGTTTTTGAAAGTGGTAAACTGTTGATGATTGATGCAGGGTGGCCACTCACTCTGGAAACCGGGAATTCTCAGGGAATTTTGAAATACCACTGGAAAACCGGGAATTCTCAGGGAATTTCACGTCGATTCTGGAAAATAATTTTGTCGCGCGTCACCGCTCTTTTCTTCCCATTCCGTTATGTTTAGTTTTTCGGAGCGAAACGCACCTGCTTCATTGCGATCAAGCATCATGTGATTATTCTTCAATGAACGCTTCGTGTTCCCGCGAAAAAGCGGAAATCCGCTTTTTTTTCCCCCAATTTTGAAAATTTCCGACCATGTTCCAAAAACTAAAATTTTTGTGAAGTCCTATTCGAGAAACCCAACTCCGCCCGAACGATAGTCGGATTACTGCGACTTCCGCTATAGAGTGGAAAGGAGTCTAAGTNTTAGGAAAGAATGTGCAATTGCTTATAGAAAATTCTGTGAAAAGATTTTAGAAAGATCACCTTTTAAATTCCAGTTAACAAGGGGGCTATCTTGTCTTGATCCTGGTGTAATTTTAAATACAGCAATTGCTGAAAAAAGACTTTCATCTTGCCTTTCAATGTTGGTATCTAGCAATTGGATATCAGGTATCAAGGCTGACAGTGTGAAAGATAGTTACAAAACGTCCATTCGGAATCCTCTAGTTATGAGAGAAATGGAGCAATTTGAGAAGAGGGAAAAACGACTGGATAATGTTTTCTTCTCTCTATTTGAAGTTTGCAATGCACCAAAAGATTTACGTTCCTTTGTTAAGTTTCTCCTCATATTGTCACATTGAAGTGCTTTTATAGAAAGTGGCTTTTCTATTAATTCAGATTGTTTAATAGAAAATCAACATGAAGTTAATTTAGTTGCTCTAAGGCAAATTCATGATGGTGTTATGGATGCTGGTGATGTTGACAATATAACTGTGACGAAGTCCATGATAAACTACGGAAAGCAGTCTCACACTCGTTATATCGAAGTATTAGAAAAAAGGAAGGAGGCAACAGAAGAAAAAAAGAAAGTTATGTTAGAAAAGAGGCAAAATGAAAAATTAAAAGAAGAATTGCATGCTAAAAAACAAAAATTAATGGCTGATTTTTATTTAGAAACTTCTTTAATTGATGAACAATTAAAAGCTATAAGAAATTAATTTTTAAAAGCTTTCAATTATTCACTTGTTGAGCTATTTATACTGTACAATTTGATTAACTCCACTTTTTAAAACATCTCAAACTTATGTGTCAAAGAATATATTAATATATATATAGGTATATTTTTTATTTTTATATTTAAAATAAGTTTCCTATATAATATAAATGAACAACATTATATGACTAAATATTTTTGGCTTTTCATTTATTGATAATTTATTTCACAACTAATTTCGATCTCAATTCTAAATTTTTAGTTTGATGGAGTTGATCAATTTGTGTAATAAGCTATTTATATAACAACTTTTTATTTTATACAAAATAAAGTTTCTAAAATTCCTTGAAATGTAGATTTTTATTTTTATAAACTATTATTAATTTTTAAGTTTATTTTTATGGTTGAGTATGCAGAAGTTATTTTTTTATATGTAAATTTTATGGCTGCTATTTCAATAATTATATTTTTAGCAGAAATATGTGTATTAATATATAATTTTTGGTGCTAGAAATGCCTAACTTTTTACACCTGTTTTATCAGAGAACATTTACACTTTTTTCCTCATTTTAATATGTCATGGAAAGTCTGGAAAACTCAGAGAATTTTTTTTGGTCTGAAGAGTGGCCACCCTGTTGATGGTTAGGAGATACAGTATTTTCTGAGGAAATCCCTAGCCGCATGTAATTAACTGGTTTCAACTTAGCAGCTTTTATTGTGCGTCTTTTGCAGTTTAATGGTTAAACAACATAATTAAATTTATTGTTTGTTTTTTATTTTATTTGTTTATTTATTTTTTGGTTGAATAAATATTTTGTCTAGGAAGAAATAACATCCTATAATAATCTCTAATTTTTTGTTTAGAAATTTGTAAAAAAATGTCTGTAATGTGATTGTTATTCAGAAATTTTATTTTTAATTATTGTGAATAAATGTTATAAATTATTGTAATGCTGAACCAAAAGTAATCCATTAATTATAGGTGCACATTCTTAGTCTTTGAATGATTCATAAGTAATTGCAACTTTTATCCAAAAATTCCATTTTAGAATTTAAGAATTTGCAAAATAAAATTTCAGTTTTTTTCTTTCCATTTTCATAAAATGGAAAATGCTTGAATAATAGAGAAACACCTGAATGCTAAAGTGCCAATCGGACATAAGATTTTTGAAAAGCTTTATTTTATCCTTAAAATCAATTGATATTGTTCTTTTTTCTATTTTTTAAAATATTTAAATATTTATCAGTTGACCTAAAAAAAAGTCATGCTTCAATACTTCTTTCTCTGAAATGATTTATTATTATTCGAAATCATTAGCATACTTAATGTTCAACTGCTTTTTAGTTGTTTATTTTGTTTTCAATACTGATATTTAAGTTTTCAATATAAAACTGAGATAAGTCAGTAATTTAACAATTTCATATTAATATCCTGTCTCAAGTTCAGCATTTCTAGTTTCTAGCAAAGACAGAAAGTAACATAACTTACTGCTTCAATGAAGTAACTTGAAAGATGTTTGTTATTCTAAATGTAACATTATTTGACTATAACTGAAGTGCAGGTTATCCAAACTTGCAAGAAAAGCAAATTTTAAAAAGATTCTGTTTTGAAAAAATCTTTTTATTTCCCAGAAAAATGTTTAGATTTTTAGGGTTTAAACTGGTTAAGTTTTACGAAAATGATAGAGGTTAATTATATTTTAGGTGCCATTAAAGCTAGGCACCCGGGAATTGCGAGACGCTGTTAAAAAAATAACGAATTCTTTCAGTGTAGTTTTTATACGATTGACACTGTTAAAACTTTTATTTTGTAGACTCAAGTTCTTCATCGTGATCAAACAAATGAATGGAAGGGATGGATGCAACTTCTTATTTTAATTTACCATATGACAGGTGCTAGCAGAGTAAGTATATTTTCACAAAACTAATATTAATTTACCATAATTTTTGTTACAGCAAATATTTTTTCATTTTAATTAAGCTGAATTTTAAAACTAAACACATTTCAGTTTTATTTTCCTCATTTAATCTCATTTTCTCAAAAACTGATTTCTAATTTCTTTTATAGGTTTTACCGATATATATGCATATACGAGTTCTTGTGACTTCTTACCTCTTCCTCAGTGGATATGGCCACTTTACTTATTTTTATCAATATGGAGACTTCGGGTTTTATAGATTATGGCAGGTAAAATATATTTTATTCTAAGCTATATCTTTAAACAGTAGGAAAAATAGCATCTGCCCAGTTATCTTTGATTTAGCTCTAGCTCAGTTGTGCTAGTTGCTTACTTAGGTAACTCTACACTATGAAGTTATCTGAACTATATAGCATGGATTTTATTCAGAATCTTGTAACTTTTTCTATATGCAATGTATTTCATAAATTCTTTGGAATTTTAAAGTCCTAGCACTTTCTCAATTTTGTGACTCATTCTCGCTTTCTCACTATAATTGAATGGGTTGCATGGACAGACAACCATTCCAACTCTACATCATATCATCATTGGTTGAAATTTGATCCAACATAAGAGTTATAGTTTTTGGTTAGTCGAGCATACTCTGTAATGATCTGCTTTTGTCCTCACTTTAAATTATTGTTTTAAATGGCAGAATAAATTTTCATCAAAATTGACGGAATAGGTGAAATTTTATATTAGTCATAATTTTTTAATATTTTCATTCCTGAGGATTGATGAAAATTTTAGACTTTTTCTTTAAAGTTACACATTGTAAAGAAATTCTGAAAAAATAAATAATAATAAATTCATACCGTACAGTTCAACATTTTCTCAACTCTTATTAATTAAAATAATAAGTGAAAAAAGTGTTACTTTGCATGAAGTTATTTTTGATAAACGAGTTTTATAATTTTGTGCCAAAATTTTTTATTTACTTAAATAAGATTTAAAGACATGATGAAATACACAATAAGTAAACTTTACTTTAAAGGGGTGAAATCTTTTCATTACTTCCCTGACTTAACTATTGGGATCATATTTTCTTGATTGTGGCCAGGGGCGGATCTACTTAAGGGCTTTTTGGGCTGCAGCCCAGGGCCCCGTGGATACAAAGGGCCCCAGTCCCCACTGAAAACAATAGGTGATATTTTGAATTTAAAAAAAAAATCGAATATTTAAGAAAAAAAACTGTTATAAGGTTGGCAACCCTGAAAACAATCAATCCATGCATGTGCGCGTCTATCGAACGGAACAGGGAATTCCCCGTCGCTTGTTTTTGGTCAGTGTATTCTGCACTTCTGTTCGCGTCGTCAAAGTGACAAATTGTTTAGTTTACTAATAAATGATAATTTAAAAGTTATAAAGACCGGACCTTTCTCTTATTTTACTTATAATTGAAAGTATATAATCAGTATAAGAAAAGATTTCCTGCTCTTAGTTGGTAAGTAAAAAGAATTATAAATCATGTTTTTTTTGTTTTTAATGTATTTTTTCAATACTAAATGAACTTTTCAATCGATTTTTAATGATAATTTGAGAATTACTGAACTCATTACAAAGTATTAAAATGTTACGTGAAGAACAATATAACATCGATTATTTCGTTCCCTGTTTATTACCAGAAAATTATCAAGTTCATTGTTTATTTTTAGAAAAAATATCAAAGTCTTATTTTACAATATGTCTGGTAGAAAATATAAAAGTGGAGCTGAGAAACGGAAATTACAGCTAGATCGAGAAAAAGAAAGAAAGAAATGTGCAAAAATTGAAACTTTTTTCAAATTAGAACATAAAAACGAGAATGAAATAGCTACAAATTTATTAACAAGCGAAAAGGAAGGGATCTTATCCGAAGAGAATCTATTTGAAGGGAGCAGAAAATCGCAACACCAGGAAAAAAATACAAGTGATGAAAATGTGCAAAGTCTTGACTACCAGCAACCCTCTGATCCCACTGAAAACTATATTGGTGTTCAGCAAGAGGACGGTAATACCGAGGCGGAAAGAAATTTAGAGAATATTAAGTTTGAGTTTGAGAAATATGTTGACGTGGGCTTGTGGCCAGAATTGCTAAATAATGATTTTATTAATGACATCCTCTCACATGAAATGACTGACTTTCAAAATAAAGATCCGAAAAATATATATTCAGCTTCAATAAAGAAATACAAAGAACAAAACAGAACATTTTCAAATAGGTATTTCATTAAGAAAATGAAAAATGGTCAATCACTGGAAAGATCTTGGTTATGTTATTCAACCAGGGTTGGTACTGTTTTTTGTTTGACTTGCAAACTTTTTTCTAAAATCCCTTCTCAATACACAACCGGATTTTCTGATTGGAAACACATAGGAACTTGTTTAGAAAATCATGAAAATTCTAATGAACATAAGAAATCAATGTTAGTGTGGTTGACACGTGAAGGCAACAAGTTAATTGTGTCATTAAAAGACTTCGTGAACAACATAAGGCACCAATCAGATCAGAAGCTAAAGGAATACGAAGAAAAAGCAAAAAAATTAAGTACTAGTGTGGGAATAGACTACAATGACATAAATAAGAGACGCCTTACTCCAAAATTTTCAGATAAGTCTACAGATAAATTCTCAGTATACGGCGCAGAAAAATTAAAAAGAGACACGCTAATCGTTGCATTGGATAAGCTGATTATGGATTTAAATAAAAGGAGTCAAGTCTATGAGATGTATAGCAAGAAATTCAAATTTTTAATGGATTTGCAAGACAAAAATATGGAAAACATAGATCTGGAAAGTGTACGTAATATTGTTGATTATTATCCAGATGACGTAGATGAGCATTTAGTGAATGAGTGCATTCAGTTAAAATCTTATTTACTTCAGTCTAAGCCAGAGTCTTACACCTCTTGCAGTGAAATTTTTATGCTAATTTATGAAAAGAAACTTGTTGATGTTTTCCCAAATTGCTATACTATCCTAAAGATTTTTTTAACTTTGCCAATCACTAGCTGTGAAGCGGAGCGCTCTTTCTCCAGGATGTCATATATAGAAAACAAGTATAGGACAGCAATGTCAAACCATCGACTAAATCACTTATCAGTCCTTTCCATAAATTGTGATTTAACGAAGGACTTACAATGTGATGAGCAAATAAAGGAATTTGCTGCACAAAAATGCAGAAAGGTTATTTTATAATTAATATAATATAACATGTCAATTTCTTTTACAATAATGTAGTACAGTTGCTGTTTGGATACACAAATGAAAATAAATAAATAAAATTATTTTATTGTCCTATTTTTTTCTATATACTTATCTACATCACTATAGAAAACAGTTTTCTGACAAAATGGCTATTAGGGCCCCTAAGTAGTTTTAGCCCAGGGCCCCACAAATTCAAGATCCGTCCATGATTGTGGCTACCCCCATGTAATGAAAAATCCATATCTGTTCAAAACAAAAGTTAAGTTTGTAGCACTTTCAATAGTTATTGATTAATGGACAGAATAGGTTTTAACATTGTTTTTAAAATTTATATGCCTATTTTTTTATAATGCTATTAGGATTCTCGAATTTTGAATAGCGGTTTCAAATAACCATCTTTATAAATACACTCTAGTCATGATGATTTCATATCAAATTCACATTTTTTATGTGGATGATAAAAATGCTGCAACAATTCTATATGTACTATAAAATTGTTGCAAATGGAGTGCCTCAAAAAGTAATTCTTCAAATGCTGGATTTGAAATTTCCCAAGCTGAAAAAAAAACATTTTAAAAACCATGCCCAAAGAGTCACTAATAACTAAAGGAAATGTGATCAAAAATATTACGCAAGTGTACGGGTGAACCGTTAATAATCCAGTGCTTAAAAAAGTAATTCTTCAACTGTGAAATTTAAATTTCTAGTACAAAACAATATAGCCCTATATAAAATGAAGATTTTTGAAACTATGGATATTCATGTCAAAACTGACAAAAATGCGATTGGTAAAACCATGTTGGTTTGCCGTCAATCCTAAATAGAAATTGTTTCTTCTGAATAGAGTGCATAAAAAATTGATATTAAAACATTGTGATTTTAAAAAACGTGGTAATCTGTAGCAAGAATTTCCAAAATAGCAATTTGAAAACCATGTGGATTTATGGTGGAATATACACTTCTTGAGTGTATCAAAATGAAAAGTTATTACTCGTGCGTGATTTGAGCTTCACTGTACACTATAAAGCCGTATTAAACCGTTTAAATTTTATGGGGAAATCTAGCTGTAACTTCCAAAGATGCTATTGTCTTAAAAAGTGGGTAAAATTAATACATTTATCAGAAAATTAATGGAAATTGCCTCAGCTTAATACCGTACATTAGGTTAAACATTACCAGTATGTTTAAGTAAAATTTCACAAATTTAAAAAATCGTAATAAAATTTAATTTAAAACAGTTAAAATTTCACATTAAATTAATCAGTCATATGATTCTCCCACAAATCCGCAAATCGCAAGACCGTTGATTCACAGATTTCCGCAAATTAATAATTTATATTCCGACAAAATTTTCTCGAAGTTCCGCCAATCTAAAATTTTAATTCTGTTACTTAGGCAATATCTTGTTATCGAGACATTTATTCTGCCCTTACGAGCACCCTCTTTTTTCCCCTTCTCTTTCACGTGCAATAATTACTTTTTTATGCAGATTTGTTCGAGAAAAGCGCACCTTCGGATGAACTTCGAGAACTGGAGGAAAAAATTCCACTATATCTTTGCATGGAATTAATGAACTACAGTGATCCCTCGTTTTTTGCGATTAATGGGGACCAAAACCTTCCGCGATAACTGAGAAACTGCAAAGTAGAATTTGCCAATAGGAATTTTTGCGTATGCGGGTACATGAATGTTTTAAATATGTAAGCAGTATTTATACTTTACACATTTAAGACAAACATTACAACAGTATACGTATTTACTTAAACATGTCAGTGCTAATTAATAAGGTTAATTACAAAACCGAGTGTAGAGTGCTTTAAAGGCACGGATGACACCTTGATCCATCCGCTGAATTAGAAGTGTAATGTTCGGCGGCAGAAACTCTATCTGCATACCATCATATTGCAGGTCCATTGCATGGCCTCCTGCACAGTCCATCAGGAGAAGGACCTCAAAGGGGAGGCCCTTTTCAGCCAGATACAGCTTCACCTGGATAATGAAGCAATGGAGGTACCATTCAAGGGTGAGAGCTTTCATTATCCAAGCCATGGAGTTACGCAGCCAGAACACGAGCAGCAGAGCCATATTTTTGTTTTTTAATGCTCGTGGATATTTTAGCTTTATAAATAAAGCCTGGCTTTAGCATAAAACCTGCAGCATTGCCGGCCGTGATGATAGTCACACGATCTTTGTGAGCCTTGAAGCCTGGCTTTTATGAGAGCTCGTAGTTAATGTACTCTGAGTCAACTCATCTCTTTGTTTGACATGCAGGGATCCTTCTCTCTCGCGCATCAACATGAAACAACGCTCCTTTCTGCAATGTGGCTGCCGACATGGTTGTATTTTTTCATTTTTCAATGAATATTTTGGAAAAACCTGCGAAGCACTGAAGCCGCAAAACATGAAGCGCGAAGTGGCGAGGGAACACTGTTCTGCTTAATCTAGACAATTACCAATCACTTTTTGATGCTCTCAATTTGCGCTATATCTATGCCGTGTTTTGATCGGTTTATTTTTTTCTTGGCAGTTATCGTTACTGATTTTCGAATATTTTTTTAAAATCTCGATATTTTAAAAACATTTTTGATAAACAAGAATCTCGAAATAAACACTTTTAATCTCTTTTAAACGGGTCCGATTTCAACAATCTTTTTTTAGTTATTGCCATAGATTTCATGTTTTTATTTATTTATTTTTTTATGCGATGGCGACTCGCAAAGTGAGAAAAAGAACAAATATGTAATTATTTTAAATGTATATATTCTTTTATGCTTTAATGAGAAAAAAATTGATTAATATTTTTTTTTCTTTTAAATAAAACTTTTTAATTTTATAATTGCTACTTTTCAGCATAAAAATTACAGTCTTTTATTTCTCTTCTATGTACAAAAGAAGAAAAAATATTTAGTACTTATAAAAAAAAAAGCTGCATATTAAGTGGAAACAATTAGGTAATTTCTTCGTCCAGCACTCACGTCTGATTAATTTTTATTTCCTGCAAGGGGTGTATAATGTAAAAATCATTAATTTCTAATTCCAAATTTTTTTACCTTTTTTTGAAATTGTTATGTTCTTATGCCTGAATGAATGTTTGGCTATTACTGGTGTATAAGTCAACTCTCTAATTTTTGTTAAATTTTGGGAATTTGAATAGTCACGATATATGATAATTAGTTTGAGATCATTGCCTCAAACCATAAGATTTTATGCTATTACTCAGAAATTCATTCATTGGTTCAAAAGATAAGTGTTTCATTTTTTATTTTGTGCATTGCTCATATTAAGTAACAAAATTAATCAACAGATAAAGTTAGTTAAATGTTTTGAAGTTATCTCTGCTTACAGATAAAAAGATTCTGTACTGCACTGCATCATCAACTATTTCTATATATATCCAAAAAAAATGTGATGAAAAATTGTAATAGGTTAGAAAAATGTTATTAATTTAGTTGAATTTCTTTATATTTATTTTAAGTTCTAAATTATTTTTCCGTTTATATGAATTGATTGATACTTCTCCTTTTGATTTAATTGTAGATTTTCTAGATTAGGAGTTTTACATTCATTCAAAAATTCTTGCTTTTATATTAACAATATTAACCTTTATCTTTTATTTTTCATTTAATTTAGATTAGTATAAAAGTTTTAACTTTTCTCTCATCAATGTTTTTAACTTTTATTCTAGGTCTTGTTCCGCCTTAACTTCCTTGTAGTTGTGCTTTGCCTATGCATGAACCGTCCTTATCAATTCTACTACTTTGTGCCTTTAGTGTCTTTTTGGTTTGTTGTAATGTTTATTACTGTCAAGTCTGTACCTCAAGTCACTGCTCCTGCTGCCGAAGGTTTGAATTTCTGTCATGTGACAAATAATTCGTATAAATTTTGTTTAATACTTGCTAAATTTGTGTTACATCTGTCAATTAAAAATTCTAACTACCATATTTTCCAATGTAAAAGTTCATTCATTGTTTAAGTTGAACCACTACTTTTAACACAGAAAATGTGTTGATTATAGTTTATATGTTGATGCCTGAGTTCGTACTTAATAAAATTGAATTTTTATTTCTAGAAGGTAAAATAATCTATGTGTACAAAGTTTTTCCAAGTTAAAAGTTTTTCACAAAAATCAATATTCCAGGACATATATCATTTTGTAAACTTTTCATATAAAGAATATCTGCTTCAGTGCTGGGACGGGGGAAATTTAGGACTTGAATATGAACAAAAAATAGACTGAAGAACTGATGAAAGAAAAGGGGTTTTTCAAAGTAGACCAACTTTTTAGGTAAAAAAATAACTACTATCAAGGAATGATATCTGCTTAAAAAAAGATTATAGTTCTTGAATATCAAAAAATGGACTAGGGAGCTGGTAAAAAAGTGATATTGTTGATAATAGTCAAATGATTACTAGCATAATACAGAACTGCTAACCTTTTAGCAGAATATTTTGTAGATAGGTAAAAAGCTATTAACTAATGCTTTCAGAATTTTGTTTATTACATATTCCGGTATGTAAACCGTCTCTTTTTTTTTAATTACGGGATAGTAATATCTGAAATATCAGGTGTATGAGTTGACCCCTAAAAAAACAATTATGAAAATTGCTATAATTAAAAAAACTTAATAACCCCCCTTTCACGATAATTTCAAAATTATCAAGCTCACAAAATTTTTACAAGTTAATATTTTTTATTATTCTCTCTGAATATGATGCATCTACCCTCAAATAAAGATGTTATGATGTGCTCCTCAATAAAGATGCATTGACAAATACTGTGAGGCTGAAAACGGTAAACTTAAAACATTATTGAATGCGACACAAAGGATGCTCTAGTATCTTTTCATTTATAGCTTTTTGTTTGAAAAGTTTTTACTGTGTTATAGCTTTTGGAATTCTCTTGAATAAATTATTTTTGATTTTGTTAGTCATAACTTTTTCTTCTGACCATAATTTAAAGTATTGTTTCTAAAAAGTACATTTTACATGTAAAGAAAATATGATGATATAATTTAAAATTAATTGTATATTTGTATGTGATGCTATGGTAAATAAGTTTAAATCAAATTAACTGAAATAAAAATCATTCATTAAAATATAAAATTTACTGTCACTAAGAGTAATTTTCTCACAAAGTATAGAACTTGTCCTCCCTACTATACCCCCAAATTGCAAAGTAATGTGTTGGGAAGAAATAATTCAGTTTGGAGCTATCTTATAAAACTTACTTATTCAATGTATTAAATATGCTAATTATTATGAATTAAAACTAGTTGCATTTGTTTAAGAAATAAATGTATTATCCTAAATATATTAGAGAAAGATTCAACTGATTATCATTGAGATTAGTCTTAATTATTTTACTGCATTGACTTTTCAATTGCAGTGGGTATATGTCAGATATTTTTTACTAACATAAAGTCGGTTCTCCCTTTTTCACTGTAATTTAGGGGTTACCCTGAAGACTAAGGCACCATTGAATCCTATAGATTTATGTTTTTACTTTTAAATATATTAATCTAATTTCATGAAGCAGACTAAAATAATTGTTCAATGCCCAATTTCTCATGCAAGATTTATATTCGTAATATATATTTTCCATAAAATAACTTAATTAAAACCTTTTTTAAATCTAACCATAACTATCTTATATTTAAGGCTCACATTTTAATAATATCAATGTTTTGAACGTTAAATTGATTATGCTAATGACATAATTTTCCACTAAATAGTTTAGAAAAGTAATTTAGTAATAATAAGCTTTTGTGCAAAGTCAATCCTTCATATCACGAATTATTATAAAACACTAAACACTAGCTACATATAAAACACTTAAAATTTCCTAGAATCACAAATTTATGATGTCAAAAATTGAGCAGATTAGTCAAAATAATAAATGTGCTAGCATTTTAAAACTTGTATATTATGTATTTACTTTAAAAAGCAGTTACTTCAAACAAAGTCAATATCTTTGCTTCTTCCTTTTTAATTTAACATTTGGCTGAAATTCTGTTTATCTGATGCTGCATATCTCCCAATGCTATATCCTATTTATTTGTAGTTTTTTTTTCTTCTCAATCACTACATACAAGCCGCGATGGCTTTGGGGATAGATCGCTCACCTCCCAATGAAGTTACCCTGGTTTAAATTCCAACTTTAGCTGGTCATTACTAATTCCGCTCCTAGCTTGCACTGCCCATGGTGCTGACTTAAAATATCCTCAGTGATAAATAAGTCATTTGTTAAAATCCCCTTACAGTTTTGCTAACCGTGGAAGGTTTTCCTTATGTAATACAAATGCAGGTTAGTCCTACACAAAGGCTAGTTTGTCTCAAAGCTTGATCCAGGAGTTCCCTTGTCTTCTGGTTTGTGTTCCCTTGCCTTCTGGATTAGATTCAGAATTTCCAAGACTCTGAAAATGAACATTGATTGTTATGAACTGAGAATTGGGTTGGCTGTTCAATGCTAATTATAAAATAAAATTTTACAAAATCACAACGTACTGAAATATCATTGTTCACGGACACTTCTTCCAGATAAGAGCATTTTATTTTGGAATCATTGAACTGGCAAGTTCTTTCCAATCTTATTCATGGATATTATTATTTATGTGCAACATGCATTTCTATTTTGAGAATTTATTATTCAATCAACTTCTTTTTAAATAGAGCAACTCTTTCTCTTTCTAATTATGATTTCAAGAAATGATTTAAGATTCTTTAAAAATTGAAGTTCAAGAATGCACTTCAAATCAATTATTAAGAAATTAAAAAAATTTTCGTGATAAAAAATATCTTATTAAAATAATGACCACGGAGAAATATATTCCGCTTTAAGAGTTTCTTTCACAGTATCAAAAAATTTGTGTTCTTGAGGTTTGTGAGTTGCTCACTTGCTCAAGGGTTTGATTGTATAATTTTGCTTTGAGAAGTCTTTGTTATTGTTGTTAAACTTAATATTGTTTAATGTTGGTATTTAAGTTTTTTATGAGTTAAAAATAACAATTGTTTCATGTTGTATTAATGATTTTTTAATGCACATATTCATTGTAAAATTTTAAGTTATATACTATTTCATATGCTCATATATTTAAGGGCTATGTTTAATAAATTTAGCAAATCCTCTTCTTTACTTCTACATGGTTTTAAAGTTTGTTGCTCTGTTTGGTATCGTCACAGTCCTGTATATGTCTGAAGTGAGTATTATATTTTTTTGTGCTTAACACTCTAACTTGAAAATAAAATGTAATTAAATCTAATAAAATTTAATGAAAAAAATTTACAATTTTCTAAAAATGTAATGTAATAATGTAAATAAATGATTAATGTAATGTAAAAATGTGATGAATAAGTGTATAAAACACAGTTATGAAATGAGTTAGAACAAAAATTCTTTTTACATGGTATATGGTTTAGTATATGGTTTGAAAGACACATTCTAAACAGGCTAACTATTTAGTGTAACTAATTGTTAATTTTCTATATTAAATTCAAAAATGCCACTGTTCTCACATAAATAAACATATTTGCATTTATAGAGATTCAGCTTCTTTTCGAAATATAGGATTTTTAAGTATCCCAAATCCTTGAACAATTACACAATGTGAAGAAAATTACTTTTAACTTAGGAAAAAAACATTATGCAAAAAATATTTCGACCTCTAAAGAATAGCCATTTTTGGAGAATCAGAAAGAATCTGGAAATTAAGAAATTATATAAAGGCAAGTATATAATCAGCAATATTTTTTAAAGTCTTTGGTGATTTGGTCATTTAATAAGAATGAATGAGAACCAAGGTTTAAAAAAGGTCTTTTTTGGGAAAAATAACAAGGAAAAGTGTTCCAAGACCCAGAAAGTGGTGGCTTAAGGATGTTGAGGAAGATCTAAAATCTTGATATTGAAAAACTATAAAAAGAAAGCTTAGACTCGAAAAGTATGGAGTATGAAGGTCAAGATCCGTTTTGGGTTGTAGCACCAAGGAGTAAGTTTGTAAGTAGCTAAAATAAGATATCTCAAAGATAAGCCAATATGTAACATATTTATTAGAGCAGCGGTGGCTCAGAGGATAAAGCATTTGCCTCTCAATAAGATTACCCAGGTTCGAATCCCGCAGTGGCTGGTTGATACAAATTCTGCTCCTAGCTTGCACCGACCACAGTGCTGATGTAAAATATTCTCAGTGGTATATGTTTAATGGGTTAAAATTCCCTTGCCAATGGGCTGACCTGGGAGGTTTTTGTGGTTTTCCTTTACATGTAAAGCAAATGCATCTTGCCTCCATCAAAAAAGACCTCACAAGCACTAATTTGTCCCAATGCTTGATCCAAGAGTTCCATTATTTTCTGTGTTAAGTTTAAAAAAATCAGGGATGTGGAGTTGAGCGTTGATAGTCATGGGCTCAAAGTTGGGTTGGCTGTTCACTGCCGGTTATGAAATAGAATAATATTTATGAACTGTTAAATCTTTTATAAAAATTACACTAAAACTTCCATTACTAAATGTATCTTACTCTATCTTTTTTAAATCTATTTTTTTCTTTATGTGCCTTCTTTAAATCTGAGGCTATCCTTTTTAAAATTATTTTTTGACTTTCTCCTATATTAATAAAATAATAAATGAATAAACCAGATAAGTAATAAAGAAAATATGAAAAAAAATATTTATTTAAAATTTAAATTGAATAATTTGAAAAATCAAACATAATAATTCTGCTCATGAAATAATTCATAATTTAACATAATAATCCATGTATTTGTAATCAAATTTGCATTATTCTAAATTTTATAAAAAGGTTCCATTACTTTTAATTCCAACCAAACTTAGATATCTTGACATTGAAGGTAGAGAAAAAAAAATTCAAGTTATCAAAAATCACATGTTGTTAATAGTAGAATAGAGATAAGTTTTAAGTATACCTTTTTCTGAAAAAAATCTTTTTTTATAGCAAACATTATGCAGAAGAAAATATTATTTTTAAAAAAAAATTAGTCTATAGTTGGTTACTTGAGAAAAAGAATTAGATATTTTTTCGATTACTGTTCCTAAATGGATAACGCTTTAAATTACATATTTCAAATTACAGTAAATGTATTCAATTTTCATTTGTCAGCCATTTTAAACACGTGACTCAGAAAATCTCATTTCCTACCAATGTTCTTTTAGAATGATTTATAACTTTTTCAAGAGCAGCACTGGATAGCTTAAATATGAGACAGTGCAAGCATGCTTTTGTTTGTTATTTCATTCACATCTTGTTGAAGCAATTCAGATTAGAAATTATGCATTCTTTTTCAAAGCCACCCACCCAGCAGGATCAATATCTTTTAACTAACATTTTTCAAACAATTCAAAACCACAGCAACCCCTCTAGCATCTTAGGAACATCTTGTGACAATAGAAAGAATGGGTTGTCACTGCATATGCATTGCAACTGACTGAAAAGAAAGAAATGAGGAAACAATAAACCGGAATTTTAAACAGGTTAATAACAGTTTCGTTCTCATTGTGTTGTTTGTAGTCATTACATCTCATAATTTTAAAGACTATACAGGGTTTTCCTAGCGTATTTTTGGAAAGCTTTTCTATTTTTTAAAAATTTGTGTTCTTGATTTTTTTTAATTGTATTTGTTGTCAAAAAGTCAAGTTATCAAAAGAAGAGTAAAAAAGTTTCGTTAAAACAAGGTATTTTTCACCATTAAGTACTTAGGAAATTTTAAGAGAATTTTTTTTTCTTCTAATTTTTTAAACATTTGTGAAACTGAGATTCAAGCTAGCAAGATTTGACAACATTTTAGCAAAACTTTTTTAGAAACTTTAAAACAAATTGTATCAAGAAATTAAAGTATTTCTTTAGTGTCTCTCTCTCTGAACCCCGAAATTTTTTAAAAAATAGAATTATTTATCTAAATTTCTTATATTTCTGCGGTACATGACAAGGTGATAACTTTTAAAAAAATATTAGTGTACTAACTCTTAATATTGCTTGCTTTTAGCAATAAAATTTTTTATCTATTTTACTCTTTGTGCATGTTTAAGGTTATTTGTGCCAAAAGCAGGTCTGAAAGTGAGATGGAAAAGACTGATTGAGCCAAAAATAACTGATGCAGTAGAGAACCATTTATCTGGTATCCAGATAACCGGGAAACCAGAAAGCCGGGAAGAATTTTGATTGGTTTTCCCGCTATTTTAAAGTACTATAACGATTATAAAAATTAAAAAAGCAGAAATTTGACTCATCCTTAAAGTTGAGTAAAGAGAAAGGGGGGAATTCTTCTCCTCATTTTGCCCAGAGGAACTTCAATTCTTCCCCTGACCTTGAAGATCCTAAGATCCAGAGGGGGCAGGGAAGGGACAAATGTTTTATTTTCTCCTGTGTTTATTTTCTTTTTCTGATAAGCTGCCATCAATCAAACTTTAAGGAGTGGCAAGCTGATTTCGTTTTCTCTTTGATTTACGAGGGGGTGGGGAAAATGCATTGCACAAGCATAGCAATGAATGTTTGAGTTAAGGAACTTGAAACATCTGGCTAAGAGTATTGATTTTAAAGGTGAAATGTGAGATTTATTTTAAATCATCCACTTCAGTTACTCAGTTTTGTTATCTATTATGGTGAATTGTTTTATTATTTCGGATAATGCATTATTTAATCACCAGTTATATTCATATATTTGACATCAATTAGCAAAACAATATTTTTTTGTTGAATAAATTCTGATTTCTTAGAAATGCGATATCATTAACAAGTTTTTCTTGATGTGCAATCACATCTGCTTTCGTTAAAAATAGCCTTTTAATAAAAAAATAAAATAAAAGGAGAAGATTGTTTATTAATTTAAGCATATAATTATTTGTTAATAAAAGCAGGCGATTATTTTATAAAGATGATNAAATTTCGTAATTAATAAATTAATTCTTTTTATTCATAAATTTTATCACTAAGTTTTTTTTTTTTTTAATTCCGTTTATCTTATAATATCCTGTCTCTTCCAGGTTTTAATACTTATGTTAGTGCCTTTTTAAAATATTGTTTCCATTCTGATTAACGGCACTTTTGGCCGATCCAGAAAACCGGGAAATTCAGACATCCGGGATAGCAATGGTCCCGAGCATCCCGATTAATTGGTTCTCTACTGTATTAAGTTTTTTAAAAAAAAACTGGTTATATATCTATTTCAATTCTTGAAGGTTTTCTGGAGGAGTAAAATAAGCTCTTACTATTCTTAATTATAACTATTCATCACTATTTATTTTTTCTCAGGTAAGAAATCATGATAGTAATAGATATTTTACTTTTTCCTAAAAACATATTTGAATGAATTTTTTTTCCTGTTTTTGCTTAGTTTTTCTAGGTTTTGTGGTCTTAGAATGTATAAACTTTCAGTCCTGGTCAAAAATTGCACTAATAGTTGGCCTTCTTTTTCAGAAAGAATCAATTGGATAGTTTGAAGAAACTTATATTTCTGTTTCTATTTTAGGTTTTCTTTGAAAAAATATTTGTTACACGCCCTTGGAAAGCTTTGTTTGTAACAACTGATGACTCCATTAAGGAATGGTGGTTTAGATGGAAAATTGATCGTTATGTTAGTTGATAATTGTTTCATAAATCAGTATTTTATTTCCTCTTTTTTTTCCATTTCTCTAATTAGCTTTTCTTTTCTAGAGCGTTGCTGCTGGAATGTTATTTGCATTTGGTCTACATTCTTTGAAACAAAACCATATAATTGATGACAAAAACCGTGGAAACCTGTTTTCGAGAGGCATTTCTTTGTCAGCTGCTTCTGCAGCACTCCTTGGCATTTCAGTATGAGAATCATTCTTCTCTTGCTTATAATATAAAAAAACTTTGCAAAAGAAATATATTTACTCCTTCTGAATTATTTTAAGTGTTTTAATAAAAATAATTTTGAAAACTATTTAGTAAAATTGAGCATTGTATTTTGTTTTCCAAGTTATTAATTTTAATACATATCTATAACTTAGATTTATGCCATGTTTGCTTTTCTTTGCCGAAACAAAATGGAATGTAATGAAATTCACCCTTACATATCATTTGTACCTGTAAGTATTATTTAGTATTATTAAATATAGTTCTGATTATTTGTTAATTATGTAATTTTACAAGCATTGTGTAATGTAGTTCAGTAAAAGCCCGACTATCCGAAATTCGACTAATCAAAAAGCTCAAATGATCGAAACTTACAGATAATTATTTATTTATGTTTTCTATTTTTTTGCATATGACCAGTTGATGTGTTTGAAAATCTATTAATGTATCAATTGGTCATATTCAAATACTGATCAATTATCATTGAATGAACTCTTTAATTTTATTCAAAAATCCCCATTTCTGACATGAAGAATTATGTACGACAGTTTACTATGTCTTTGTGGCAGCAACACTGGGATTTACAAATTGAAAACAAACTGCACACAATTAAATCCACGCTAGAGCCTTGGCCGGTGTTGCAATTGCGCAGAGCAGATGTCAAGCTCACCTGCCTACGTATAGGACATACTCGGCTGACTAAGGCCGGGATAGCCTGGTCGGTAGGGTGCTTTGCCCATGTCCAAGAGATCGTGGGTTCGATCCTCGCCGGCCGAAGACTCCCCGTGTAGTAAATGGTGACTGATGCACGTTAAATCTGTCGAGTCTCAAAGTCCTCCATGTTCCCACAACAAATCAATACCTCTGGGGGTACTGATCCAGGAGTTTCCTTGTCTTCTGGATTGGTTCAAAATTACAAGGCTACGGAGTTGAACATTAGTAGTCGTAAACCCATGAAATTGGGTCGGCTGTTCAACGACGGTTATAAAATAAAATAAAATACTCAGCTGACTCATCTTCACTTGCTGTCCAGAGAACCGCCTCCTCGATGCGATAATTGTGACGTTTCTCTTTCAATTCATCATATTTTAATCGCATGCCCATGTTTTAACCAACAACGCCTTACCTTTTCTGGAAGCACGATTTTATATGCAAAAGACTTGTTAGATAAAAATCACCATCCTAACATCTTTGCATTTTTACGTGCTACTGGAATTTTAAGTTGTATATAACAACATGAACATTTCGCACTAAATATGCACCTGATCGGCGACTTCGAACAATCATTCTCCAAACTGAAGTGAAGAAAGCCAAGTTAACAATGTTTCCTTATTATACACAAACTCTAAAGACTTTCCAAAAATTAAATTGGAGTTAGAAATTTTGTGCTATCAGGTGATTGGAAAATTCCCAAGTAACTGAAAAATACTTGAGAATCTTTCCACATATAAAAGTTATTGTTCAGTTGGCAGAGAAAAAGAAATATGCTCTTACAAGCCAGAGCTGCAAAACTATTTAAAGAGTTATTAATTAATTTTTCACTCTATTGCAAATGAATTTGAAAATTTCTTACATAAATACCAGACTCATTTGCCCCTCATCCTATTTCTTTTGTATAGTTTAACAAATCTGACATCGAAACTTTTGAAAAGTTTTGTGGGTAAAAAGGCATTAAAAGAAGAGAATGTTTTGAATGTGTACGTTGAAAATACTAAAAGTTTTCTTTCATCTAAAAAAAATTATATTGGTGTCTCTGCTTTGTGTTCAGATTGTCCTTCAGATGCTTTGTTCCAAAGCATCTGAAGGACAATTTTTTAAACATACATGAAAAATTTCTCATTGAGTATATTAAAAAGTTACAAGTGCAATCTTCTGTGGCCTTTGTTTTGATAAAATCAGTTTCTTTTTTCAACCCTGTAGTAACTTTGTTAGAAAATATATTTAATCTAAGACTGATAAAATTGCTACTAATCTTTTGTCAGAAAAACTGGAGATCTTCAATTACTGCAGAATGGGTGAAAAGCCAGCTAAAAGATGAGTGTGCTGAGACACAAAATGTATCAAAACTGAAGTGTACTAAACAACAGAGAATTAATAATTTTTGGCTCAACATGTTCTCAAATTGCATAAAAACTTGCAATTATGCTTTATTGTTGATAAAGATTATTATGATGCTCACCCATAGCTGCAATTAAGTTATGAGGGGATTTTTCAATCAATTATTATAGGATTTTTTGATGGAATTATCACTCATTTCAAGGCAAATTGTTTATGATAACAATCAAGCAAATGGTGGTATGAATAATTTTAAAATATCAAAGCAAATTATTTTAAATGTACGAAATTCAAGAGGCAGATTTAAAGAGTGTAAAGATAAGTGAAATGAAGGATAGGAATTGAATGAAAATTTGAAGAAAAAGAAAGTGATTCAGAATCGGAAGCCAAAGAACTTAGAATTCATGAAACTTTTCCACTTTTTCATGAAAATGTTGTAACTGAAAAACAGATTTCCAGAGTTAAGTTTTGTTTCGAGAATTAACTATTGTTTTTTTTTATGAGCTTGTTTTATCAACATATTTATTCTGTAATAATAATAAGCTTTTTTATCATCATGGTAATGAGGAAAAAATGAAATTTTCTGCTTTGAAGCTTTTTAAGAATTGAGAAAAAAATTTTATCCTTTCCTATTTTTAAATTTTTGTTTCTATTGACATTTTTACTATGGTGCTGCGTTTTAATGAGCACTTCTGATACACTTTTTCCTTAAAATACAATAATATGGGAAAATGATATTTTTCAGCTTTAATATTTTGTTTAAGGAATGATCTATTTATTCTGTTTCTCTTTTGTTTTTTTATTCCTCTTAATTAAGACTTATTTATATATCTTTATTTTGTATAAGCAGCAATTCTGATATACCTTTTTTCTTTAGTTTCCTTTTGTGTTTCTTTCAGTTTAAGTTTTTTTTTCTTTTGTTATTAACCTTTAAGAAACAAAGATGTAAAGCACTGAGTATTACGGAATTAAATAATAAAAAGAGGTGCTAATTAAGTTTTTTTATGTTCCTCTGTTGCGTTTTTCAATTTATTTATTTTTAATTTTTATGGACAACTATTTTATTTTATCCTCTTTTATCTTTGTTATATTTTTACAAGTATTTTTTTATTTATTTGGAAACAACAATTTTACCTGAAAATGGGGCAATACTTTATAAATTCAGATTTTCAGTGCTTAAGTATCCAGAATTTTCATATATTCAGAATTAGCTTAATTCCTGCACATTCTGGATTGTCGAACTTTTACTGTATTTATAAATAATATTTTAACTAGACTTTTCCTGTTTATAATTAAGTATTGTAAAAGCAGAACAATTGCTTTTAGTATCTACTTGTGTAACAAAATTTTTTATGTAATCCATTTTTTCTCATTGGCTACTGATTTTTTTACCAATACTGATAATAAAATAATTTCTTCTTTATATTTTCAGATACTATCTTATCTCACTTTAAGAAATGTTGGCGGCTACTTGCGTACAAAATACAGTACGTTTTTTGCCTGGTTTGGAAATATTTCCCTTGAAGTATGTATTGACAATTTATTTTAATTACACATTGTTTTATGAGGGAAATTTAATATTAATATTTTACTGGGTGACAGTTATAATGGAGTATCATGTTAATTCTTCCTTTTGCTAAAACTTTCCCTTTATATGTTGTAGATCTATAAAATTTCCATTTTTAATATGAATAAATTTTGAAATATTATGATCCAAGCATTCGAACAATGAGCCTTTTGTGCCCTTGTGAAATTTTCATAAATTTTGGGAAGCAAATTTGAAGGTTGAAAACTTTACTTTTACAACAATTCTTCAGGGTTTGCATACACCGGGAAATCGGTGATTGTCAGGAGAATGAGATTTGAAAAAAAAGTCCGGAAATTGTCAGCGAAAAATGTATTTTACCACAAAACAGGGAATTGGCAGGAAAGAGAATTGAACACCCTGTCAGATTACAGGATTTCACTGTTTCGTTTTCAAAACCGTAATTTGTGCAAAAGAGGATTAAAAAAATATGACCAGATTTTTTTTTTTACGGACCGACTGTCATGTAGATCTTTAAAATTCTGCTATTCTTAAGCATCTCTGGAGTGTTTTCAATTGGATGTCGAGTTAAGGAACTTGAAACTTCTGCCTTGAGAGTATTGACATGTTAAGTTTTTTAAAATTTATTTTTATTCTCTTTTGTTGCACTAAAGTTCGAAGTTCAAAATTGGCAACACTCTTCTATAGTTTCAACAGTTTTTCTCAAGCAATCTTCATTTTTCTACATGGGCTTAAGTTTTTGATCATTTGAATTGTAAATTAGTTCGTTGTGTTAACTTTATTATTACAGCATGTTATTTTTGTTATCTTCAATATTAACCTATTCCTTACATTACTTTTATTAATGAGAAGTATTATTTCTTTACTGCTTGTACTTAAATTAAACATACATAGCACAAATTTACTTAGTTAATTTTACTATAGTTTTTGTGACTAATAGGCAAAATTTATTAACTTAACTAACCCTACCTGAATGCTAATAGTTAGTGAATTAAATGTGAGTTTAAGTGCAGTAGTTATTTAACCATATTGGCATAAGGGACAAAAACAAGAAACATAAATGTTACTAGTTAGTACAAGTTTTTTTATCTTATGAAAATTTCTCGGAGCTTTTCAAATATTACATATGCATGTTTTTATCAATTTTAACTCCCCTTCACGTCCTTTTCAAGCTCTCAAGAAAGTGGAGTTTGAGTTAAATATTTCATCTGACTCCACAGCTCTGCGTAAATAAGAGATCTAGCCTGTGTAAAATAATTGTATAATTCATCTACACTTTAGTGTATTTTCTCTGTTTTGATTTGAAAGTAAGATTTTTAAATTTTTCCATTTTAGTTATTCATTGCCCAATATCACATATGGCTCTCTGCTGACACACATGGAATTTTAGTGTTAGTTCCTGGGTACCCTGTATTGAATGCTTTAGTAACATCTTTTATTTTTGTTTGTGTAGCTCATGAAATCCATTGTTTAACTGACATTTTAGTGAAATATGCTGTGCCTAATGACTGGAAATATTTAACTAGAAATGTAACTTTTTTTTGTTTACTTCTTGTACCTATAGGAATACATGATGGAATGTTTTAGTGAGCTTAATATTCCATTCTTCTACCATCGGACTTTCATACATTTATAAGAACTCAATGTTCCTCATTGTAAATTTATTGTATGAATAAGCTTAGTAGTACTTATCATATAAGTGTATGATCAAATATGGTTTGTTTTATCTTGTAAAATATATTATTTTCCCAATCGACTAATTAGAAGAAAGAAAAATATTTTTTACTACTAGTTGACATTATACCTTAGATTCTGCTTAGTATTTATTTCTTTGTATTCCATAATCAAAAACTTACTTGTATATTCTAAAATTATTTCTCTTTCAATTTAATTAGGAAAGTATTATATAACTATTTATCAAATATTAATATTTTATTGTAAAATTATTTTGTTAGTTATCAGATGTTATTTTAACTATAATTTTTTGGAAGTTATGCAGGGCAATTCAAATAGAGATGTTCCACTTTTTTTGGAAAATAAAAGTATATAATTCCCATGCTGTGTTTAAAATGTTGCAAAACAGTAAATATGGGCTAAAAATAAAAATTATTTTATAATTTTTCATTAGTTAATTATAAAAAAAAATTGCTTTGTAAATTATTACTTTGTGAGTCTTTCCGTCATGTTCTGTGTTATAACAGAAGTGTTAAACTGCACCACATGAAAACAAATTAAAACTAATTTCTGAATGTCAAGTAACAATTTTAGAGAATTGTAGCATTAAAGAATATTTAAAAAGAAAAAACAATAACTTCAATTACTTTATAAGTAATAAGATTATTGTTTGACATTTTACTAATAATTACTAATTAAGCTTTTCTTTTGGAGACTAGTTTTTAAAACATTTCATTCTTTAATGCTTGATATTAAATAAAAATAGATATGAAACATTCTGAATGAAAGATCTAGTAATTGTAAACCTAAAGGAAAAAAACATGATTTTATAAGAATTTTTGGTAAGGTTAAAAAGCTTTTGAAAAAATTGTAGACTTCCTAAAATTCATGCATTATGATTTTACCAAGACACATATTGATAACTCATTTATTTGCCTGCATCTAGGATGAAAATTTGGTCAAATTCTATTAGTAATTAATAAAACTAAGGAGTGTCATCTCTACTGAAGTTATTCTATTTGTTTATCATTCTATGTTAAATTTTGAGCTTAACATAATAGTCTGGTTTTGTAAAATTAAAAATATTTTTAGTAAGGCACATTATCATGCAAAACTTGTATCACTCTATTCCTCTATTTTTTAACTCGGCCATAAATTAGCACTATTAAGTTAGAACAATAATAGAAACAATTTTGTTTGATGCTTGCAATTATGTTTTAAAATAGTATTATTTGCATTTGTAATAGCATTGAAAAAGGCTTTACAACTGATTATAACCAATACTTTTTTTTCTAAATGTTTCAGTTTGCTAAAATATTTGAAAATTATATTTTTAAGTAAAGGAAAAATTTATTTAGATTTTCATTTATGTTGTAATATACAATATAATCATGCTAAACCTTTAAGCTAAAAATCTTAACAATTCTTTTTTTCTTTTTTTAATTATTATTTGGAGAGAAACAATTCTGTGATAATTAAAAATTTACTCTAAAAATGACATATTGATATGATTTAATGAATTTAAATGTGTATATAGTATACAAAATCATCATTTGTTTTTAATCCAATTGTTTATAAATAATTTTAATCTGATTATTTATAAAAAAAATAGATATAAAATTGCTAAAGTGTAAACTATTTTATACTGCTTTTAGGCTCTCTTACTGTTTATAATTATTTTTAGTAGTCAATTTAAACAAAGTACAACAAAAATTTTATTGTAGTTCGTGTCACTTCAGTGCTATGTAAGATTTATAAAGAAATTTTTTTTTTCAAAATGGCAGCTATTTGTGCAAAATAATATTTCGGTCACATCACTGAATACTGAATATTTAGGAATTCTCCTTTTCAGGGTTGCCAACTTCTCCACATTGAGCAGTGTTTCTCCGCAAATTTTGAAATTCCACCCAATACACTGAATGTATAATTTTCTCTGCTAATTTGGATATGTTTCTTTAAAATAACTTGTTGACATTTGAGGTGAAAAATAAAAGCATTGTTTTTATAAAAAGATATCTAAAGAGTAAAACGAAATTATTGAAAACAAAAAAAAATCCAAGTTTTAAGGATGATACAGCTGCGACAAAGTGTGAACCAACATACTTCTTGCAACTTTCAGTGAAAAAAATCCATATTTTAATGAAAAACTAAATTTTCCTCCGAATGGCAAAGCTGTCTAAAATGGAACTAGCTTAGCTCTAGAAATTCTGTACAATGCTCCCCATTGTAAGGAGAGTGTCATGCATGATTTGATCTCATTGCTTGATTTACCACTGATAAAATTTTTTAAAAAAAACTTAAAATGGGGCCTCTTCAAAGAAATTTCAGCTTTCTCTTATCTATGACCACCCCATTTTGATGAGTTAATAAAAACAAATTTTTATCTTTAGGTTTGCACAATATAATCGGTCTTCACTTGGAAGATTTTAATTTGCTGTGCTAAAGATCTTCCATGGCAAAAGTTCTTTCTGATTATCTTAATTTTTGTATATTCATTTCATTTTTGATATGGATATCTCAAACTTTTTCAAATCGCTGTGTGTGTTTCTCGTGATATTATATTGTTTTGTTTTCTTACATTTTTAAAAGTAAAGCAATATGCTTTGAACTAATGAGATTTTAAAATCCAACAACACTGTGATTTTAGTAATTTAAAAATTGAATATTGTGATTCTCATCTACACAATTTTGAAATCAAACATTGCTTATTGTATTTCTGATGTTCAACAGTTAAAGTTATCACTATTCGTATTTTTGTGATTCATATTGACATAATTTAAAAATCTCCTTTCGAAATTGCTTTGAGTGTCACTTAATGCATAATTATTTTGCTACTTAATTATTCCGCTTGAGTTTAAAAAGTGCTCCAAAAAATGAACGAAATGCTGCTCTTATTGTTGTTTAAATGTTGGCAACCCTGCTGTTCAATACCAGAACAGAGCGTTTGATAAAATTTTTTTATTTTCCGTATTTATCAAGGTGCAGCACTTATATAGTGCGTCGCTTCTGCCGGATAATATGATAATGATGCGAAAATGATACATGCTTATTAAAAATTATTGAATATTTCTTTTAAATATTGAATTGAATTTTTTGTTTTAAAAAAAAAAATATTTTTTTAATACATTTATAATTTAGGACAATCACTGAAAGCATCATTTGAAGGTCAAAAACTGACCTTGTATTAAAATGTTCTTATTTATATATTTTTAAATTTATCTTTGTAAATCACTCAGATGTAAATAATGAACTTGGAATTAGCAGATTTTAATTCTTATAGTTTTCTCACTAATGCATTAACAGTTTCTTTTGAAAATATGTGAAAAACTCCTTATTTTTTTTATTTATTTATCAAATTATTTACTATATTGTTTAAGATATATTTTTAAACTGTCATTAATGTAATTTATATTTTAATTTTAAATTATTTATTTCTATACTAATATTTTTATACTATCAGATTTAAAGTGTATCAATTGTAATGCAGTTGTATTATTGTATTGATTTTTATCATTAATTTTGTCAAATAAATTGTATTCATGGAATTGGACAAATTGTTCAATGAATATTTTTATCAATATAGTATAATATTACTTTTAGTTTAAATCACATGTTATTGATTATTAAGTTTTTATAGATTTATTATTTTTGACTTGTGTTTTTTTTAATCATTTCATTTGCATATATTAATGATTATAAAAATATTTATCTTTTATACGAGAAATAGTAATACTTTATGTTGGCCAGCAAAATGTTGGCAATTTAATTCTAAAACTTTTGTCCTGCTAAGCAGCGTTTAAAGTTTTATACAGTGAAACTGTTTAAACATCTGTATACCTATCAATTCTTCCAGATTTTCAGGAAGATTTTGTATTTATATTTAAAGTGATAAAAAAACTTATGCTTTTCTGTGCTATTGTTGGATATATAAATTTACTTTAGAATGATTTTAGCCACCATTACATATGAATAAATAAACATACACATAAATACACGATAATTGTTTTATAGTGTGTTTAAATTCTGGCATAATATAAAAGTATTTCTGAACGCAGTTAATTTTTCAGTCACCATTTCTCTACCACTTGGAGAAAATCATTCTTGGAAAGAATAAAAGTTGGTGGGTATGCAATGCGAAGATCATAAATGAAATTAAAGTTTAAGTAAATAAAATATTTGTGTTTAGTTCAATCTACCCTATGTAAATTTGATTTTATAAAACAAACACAAAATGATAGTATTTGTATATACAGAATTTTTAGTAACCGTTATAAATTGAAGAATTCAAAATGAGACGAAAAAAAATTTGATAAATGACATTTGAAGTGTAAAATTATTTTTATATACTTTAATCAATAATTAATTTTTTTTATTATTTAGAGCTGGTAGTTGAACTTACTTTAAAACTGCTTCTTTTTAATTATAGTTATGATAGACTAATACTAACCTTATCAACAATTTCCTAACTTGTCATAGATAATTGTGATTTGACTGTTCAAAAGTATGGTACTTTTTTAATAAAATATTTAATCAAATTTTATTTATTCTATAGATATAATAATTTTTTGTACTATTCTAACATTCTTACAATATATATAGCATGAAAAAAATATTGTGAAAACAATATTTTTTGTTTCCATGAAACTCATATTTATTTTGTTGCAGTCATCACTGTATTTAATTCTTTTAATCAGATGTATTTTTATCTAATTTTTTTTACATTATTATAAAAGATTTTTTTACAACTGGATGATCTATCATATTTCATATAGCTTTTTTTCTTTTATCCACATTAGTTTAATCTTCAAATATTTTTTTTTCTTTTTTAATTTTATTTAGACTCTAGAGCTTAGTTTTTAAAGAAAGCTCTCATTTTATTTAATAAATACCAATGTATTGAACAATTAACTGAAAAACAAATTACCTTACTACCTAAGGACATTTTAATATGAAACTCAATGTAAAATTTGGTTTTTCAAAT